TTCCTCTATCTCAGGGCATCAGAACATCAGAGGTAATATTATCAAACTTTCAAATTGGTTGCCTTCATCTTCTTCTGTTTCGGCAACAGTCCGATTATTCCCTTTACATATGTATTTTCAAATATTTCGCTCATTTTTCATTATTATTGTAAATGAAGTTTACTTTGGTACTTTGAATGCCAGCTTAACGGTTTGAAAAGTTTCGCACCTTTCCCTCGCTCTTCCTCTCCTCTCTCATCCTCACCTCATCACACCTGACTCTCTCTCTCTCTTAGTCTCGATCTACTTCTCACTTCTTCTTTTTCTGCGTGAAATTAACTGAAAAATTGTCACCACTTAAGGAAACAAATCAACGGAGAACGTCTTTAACAATCTGACAATATAGTTCAGAAGAGAATAAAGAAAGAATCTCAACTCAAAGACTGTTCAACGGTGTTTGTTTGTCCTTTGATGGTGAGAAAACCTTCACAACCAATTGAAGTTTAGTTAAATTGAGAGAGAATGAGCTGAATGGAGAGAAAGGACAGAGAGAGAGAGTATGAGTTTGTGGTTCTGTGTTAAGATTGTCCAACAAGATGATTTTTGGTGAGGAAAAGGAGGTTTTTCCTTTTTCTTGGAACTCCTCTCTAGTCTGCTGATTTTTTCATGGCGATTCCCATTTTGTGATGGGCAGATGAAAGGGGAAAAAAGAGCTGAAGCTTTGCAATATGAAAATAATACAAGAAGAGGAAAAAAAAGTTTTTTCTGTCTACCTTTGTCAAATGTGTGCCTATGTGTGAGCATTCTGTCTGTCCAGGCTTTTTTCTGTTTATCGTCATTGGTCTTCGTGTTTCGTTTCGTTTCGTTTCTCATTCCATTCATCATTTTGGCGTAACTATTCACGTGTTTCATTTGAATTTTATAGTTTCCCGCTCATGTAATTCAAAAGATGGAAGGTCATCCTTCTCATCATCTTCCGGTACATCTTCAGTTTTCATAACATCCAACTTATATCTCAGTGTTTCCTGTACCTTTCCATGTTTGCATTATGAGAGTTCACCTTGACCATCTGGGCAGTCTCATCTTTTTGGGAATTTCCATCAAAAGCAGATAATTGAAATGATCGACGTGAGCTTTGCGGAACTTCATCTGAAAGTTCGTCTTAGACAACGTCAACGACTTCGCCAGATAGCCATGTCAAACATGACCCTAATGTAATCGTCATCTTCATTGAACTCACACACGTTATCGTCTGGTCTCTCTTGGACTTGTAGACAAACTAGTAGATAAAATAGTACATGGCTGAAAAAAGAAAGAAAGAAAAGAGCCGCAAGAGGTGAAGGGCAAGCTTCCGGAGTTGGGCTAGTCAGACGACTGGGACCTTTGCTAGTTACCCTTCTGCCTGCTTCTGCCTTCTTCCGTCCTCTTTCCAGCCTTCCCGTTTTCCCTTTCTCCATCTCTTCATATTGATTGCCAGCACGCAAACACATACACACATACACACACTCACATACACACACACACATACAACTGCATAGAATCATAGCTCTCTTCCTTTCCTCATCTTTCCTCCTTTTCTCTCATCTATAAGCTTCATCTCCCTTTCCTCTTCTTTCTCTATGCGTTCTTTCTCTTTCCTTTTACACCCCTCTTATTCTCGCCCCGCTAAGCTTACTTCGCCCATTTCCCTCACTTCACTTTCTTTCTTTCACCTCTCCTCATAACTCCAATTCTATACTTCAAACATCGCTTATTTTTCCTTTCTCTCTCAGTACTTTTCCTCTCCATCTATCCTGTTTTTTCTCTTTCCTTATTATCTCAATCTTTCTCTCTTCTCTCAGTTCACTATCCGGCTCTTTCGCGTTTATCGTGCACACGTCTAACTCTCTCCAAGTCAGATGATCAGCTTCAGACAAGCTTTGGCTAACTCATTCTATCTCTTCTTTTCCTTTTCTCCTCATGTCTCTTATTCCTCTTTTTTCACTCTCTTAGTCTGTTCACTGTTTAGCTTACTCTTGATCGTCTTCCACTCTCCATAAACACTAAAAGGCTTTGTCTGGTCTTTGCCTATCTGTTTCTTACATTCATCTATTGCTTTATCTTTTTATTTCTTTCTCCAGTCCTCTCGTTTTTCTCTTTTAACTCTCCCCAATTCGTTTCCTCTTCTCTCTCCCGTTCACTAGTCCACCCTCATCGTCGTCTGCTTCGTTCTCATCGGACCCAGTTAGCTGGCCCAGCCGACGGTCCTCATTCTTTTTACCTCCAGCTCTTTCGTTCTCTAGCCATCTGTGCTCTCCATATTGCACAAGCATTTTATGTCTAATTCTGTGTATGTCTCTCAATTTCAGTTTCTCTTTTTTTCTTTGTGCTGCTGCCTACTGGCTGCTGCGCTGCCGGCCGTCGCTCGCCCAACTAGCACACACACTCACACACACACACACACTCACACACACACACACACACACACACATACACAGACACATGCCTACCCCCCTCCCTCACATGCTCATATACGTACATTTGCTTCCATACGCAGACTCAGACACATGACTAGTCACATTCGTACACGCACACACACACGAGCCATCATTGCCTAGTTTAGTTATTTTTCTATTTGTTCGTATGTTTCAATCTCTTACTTCTTGTTTCATTCTAATTTTCACTTTTCCGTCACGACATTTTTTCTCCTCAGCTTTCCATGTAAGAATCCTTGCGAGAGCTTCCATAATGAATGTTCATCTCATATATCATGTTATAGAAACTCGAGATTATATAGCTTTTCGAGGTTCTTACCATTCATACTATACTTATAAGGAACGTTTCTCTCTCTCTCTCCCTCTCTTTCACATTTAAACTTAGCTTTAATCACATTTTTTGTGTCTTATGTGCTCTTGTAGTTGTGAATGTGTAGAATAGAGTAGTGTGTCGACCGCCTGACAGCAGCCTCGATTCATGTGTGGACCCCAGGCTGTCGGTTCGTCAACGACAGCAACTTCATTTTCAGCCAATTGTCTTTGAGTCTTTCACTATCCAAATACCTTTACTAGTCTTTTTTCCTTCTTCCTCTTCTTCCTCTTGTTCTCTGTTAAGTATTTTTCATAATTTTATTATTCGTTCCATAGAAGGCTATTGATTTTATGTTAATTAAGATTCGTTCGAAGCTTCAGATATATTGGTTCAATTATGTCGTCCAAGCATCATCATCTCCTCCTCTTCCTAATAGTTTTGATCTGCCACATTGATTTTGTTTGAAAGTATCTTTCCCCCCCCCCCCTCCTCATATTTTCCTCAAGCTTCTTCTTCTTCTTCTCCTTCTTCTCAGCTTAATCTGCTTTTCCTCATTTTTGATCCTTTGATTGTTGAAATCGTCGTTAAAAACCTCTGAATCTTATCATTCTTGTCGTAGATGCTTTATGTTTTAGTTTTCTCATTCAATCTCATTGTCTGCCAATGAGTTCTGTGTCTTCTGTAATGATGAAATCTTTTCTCATTATTATCGAAACGTTCTGCTTCGCGTTTTGACACCTTCGAGTCTCCAATCGAGTCAATTCCAACTAGTTTTACTATGTACTTAACTAGCTCTTGTACTTGAAGCTTCTTTTCAGCTAATTAGATCTTATCACATTCTCTTTATTTTCCACCCTCAGTCCTCGTCATCTTTCTCTTTATCTCAACTTTTTTACTCCTTTTAACTAAAATTATAATTATCTTTACATATTTCAAATATTTCTGCTAATCATTGTTCAAAAATCAAACCTTTTTTTTTTCATTTATGTTTCACCCTCACTCACTCACTCTCACTCTCTCTCTCTCCCTCCCTCCCTCCAACTCTCTCTCTCTCTCTCTCTCTCTCCGTCTTTTCTAGCAATCCCAATCCGTTCTTTCAGTATGAACTTATTCTCCCTCCCTCTCTCCTCCTTTTTCTTTTCCTGCCTTCTTCACTTTCTGTCTCTCTTCGTCTCTTCCTTCTACCTCTTTAGCTTTTCTCATCAATTCGTTGCATTATCTTTCCTACCCATAGCTCAAGCCATTCCCTTCTTTGTTTCCTTTTCTGCTCACCTTTTCTCAGTACTTATCAAATCATATTTTCAATTTTCTCTTTCCATTTCATATGAGCAATAGGTATGTGTGTTTGTATTTGTAAACAAGTTCGTTTTCAATATTTTCTTCTCCAAATTCGTCGATGATGTTCGATCTAGACCATCAGCCATCTTGTTGCTTCTACTTCCCTCCTCCTTCTATGCTTTACCTTCTTAGAACTCATTTGTTCTCATGTTTTTACACCTTTTGATACTTTTGAAGCTTTTTCTCTTTGCTGATGTGTTCTCATCGACCCCCATATGCTTGAATACCCAGTTTACATCTTTTGCTCCTTTTCTGCAACTTAACCGAAACCTTCTGATTTTTCAGCTGTTTGATTTGTCTTTGTTCGTTTTTCTACCTTATCGAATTTCGTTTTATCAAGCTTATCAGACTTTTCATTTCGCTGTCCTTACTTACAGGTATTCCTCCGTAGTGCACAACTGCTGCTCCTTCTCGTACAACGTCGACGTCAGATTTTCGTCAGACGTCGTCAAGTGTGCCGCTGCAGCTGCCTCCTGACTGCCTCGACACCAGTAGCCCTTCTATCCAGCGTGCGTGTGCGGCCATAAGAATCCAGAATTACGTCGTCAGCTAGATCGTTCCGTTTTCTTTTTGCTCATTTGGCCATTCAACGACATTTTCGGTTGACCACGACACATTCAGCGTATAATCTACAATATCAATCGTTTTACATTACGTAATATCTTGCTGCGACAAGATCACCGACGACGAAGACGAAGCAAGCTTATCAACGTCTTCTAGCTTCTTCTAGTCATCCAGCATCGATTATTAGTGTGCTGAGCAATCAATCAACTTCCAAAGGCATTCGAAGACTTTAAAAGTCCTTTTTTCCCAACTTATTCTTATTGCTTGTGCCATCTGTATTCCAAAAGCCGCCGACCATAGTCTCCCTACGAGAGTTCTTCCGATCTCTGCTAATGAAAATTTTCAACTGCGACTGCACAAACTTGATGGGGCAGGGTCAGAGGTAAGCTTATTTCTTTTATTCAAATTACTTTATTGAACTATATGTTATGTATGCAAATTGACGTTACGTGAACTCACGTAACTCACGTGACTTGACTTAAGCTTGGTTTCAATTCATTTTTCATTGCTTCATGCGTTCAGAACGGTTTTGCCTTTTCATCATTCTTTCGTCCTCGTATTCAGACTTTTGCACGTCTCATTAGCTGTTTTTGGGTATTGTGTCTGCGTTTCAGACATCAAAAGCTTCATTTGGTCTTTCCTTCTAATATTTGCCAATTTCTTCATTTGGACAAACTTTCGTTCATTTCTTCGCCCTTTTTGATCAATTTTTTGATTGAATTGAAAAAAAAGGGTGTTGGGAACAAGAGTGGGAGAGTGAGAAGAGTAGGATCACATCCAATTGAGTTACTTCTATCAGTCTTTGTTTTTGTTTGTTTGTCAGAGAAGCATTCGAAAGAAAAAAAACTTTGCCATGGATCACTTCAGAAGAGAAGATGAACAAGTTTTCTGCAAACATAGATAGAAAAAGACTTTTTGACTATATGAAGACGCTGAAGAAGAGCAAAACAGCTTTCTTGAACTTTCTGCTCAAATATCATTGTATAAGCCTAATCATGGTTCAGAAACAGTTTCGCACTCGCCATTATCACATGTTGATGGCTTCTCAGTAAGCTTGATTAAGTTGGAGCTGGATGTTAAAGCTCTATAAATCTGTCAAAACTACTGATTTGCTTTGTTATCAGAAGAGATTATGAAATCATATTGAACTTTATCGCACTTTTACCTTATCATCATGACTTGTTCATCTGTGATGATGGTAGTGGTAAGATGGTAAGAGTGAGAGCTCAATCACGTAGCTTCAGTTGGCAATTGGCTAAGCTGTACTTTTCCTTGAATTAAACTAATCTTCAAATATATTTCTTTCTAATTATTTTAATTTTCTGAAAGAAGAACAAATTAAAAATGAAATTAGACAATGTTGCGTTTTCGTCCGTCAATTCAAACGTTGATGAAACTCAATGAAATCCATTTGGCTGCTGTTTCAGCTTAATCATCTTAAACATTCACACGCATTTTCACGTTCTTTCAATGAAATCTTATAACATTCCAATAAAATGTTAGGCTTTCCCCCCACCCTTAGTCCAGCATCTCTTCTTCTCTGCTCTCTTCATCTCCTTCCGCTGACATCTTCATCTGAAGTTCAAAACTCAAAATTAGGTTTTCGACATCAACGTGTTGGAAAAGCAACTCCAACTCTAAATTGCATGAAGCATAATACGAAATATCAAAAATCATTCGATTTCTCCCCTCTTTTTCACGAATCCTATTTGCATGAAAATTAATTTTGCTTTTTTGTGTTCGAACCTCTGAGCTCTTCTAAGCGTTTATGTTTCGAGGGAAAGAGGGAGGGAAAGGGAGTTTTCATGTGTTTGTGAGGAAGTGAGGCAGGGATTAGCAAGAGTCCCTCTTCCGTTGAAAAGAAACTTCTCTCAGAAGCTAAACTAATCAATTTCATTAACTATATGCTAATTCACAACTAGTTCATTCCTTCCGTTATGTTAAACTGAACGGTTATGGAAATGCAAATGCTGAGAAGACGATTACTAACTGTCTCCATGGCAACTTTCACAACAAAAATACCGTATGCCCTTCTTCCAACTCCATTTTTGGATAATTCTGAACTTTTCTATGCTTTTCTTCTCCGGAGAATCCTCTTTATACGTTTTCTTTGCGTTTATTTCTTTAACTTCTTGAAAAAAAAGGAAATGCCGGAGATGAAAGCTGTTTGAGACATTGTTGAGACTCGGGGGGTCTCGAACGGAAATCAACCGGAACCAAATGAGATGGAGAGGCTATCAGACAGATGGGTCAGTCACTGAAATGTGCTTTGTTTCCCCGGAAGATGAGTTATGAATATGGATGGCTGGTCGTCGAAATAAATGTCGACATCTCCATTCTCTCTTTAATCAACAAACGATAGGGGAAGAAAAACAGAGAGAAGCCGCAGCCCTCAGAAGGTTCAGATATAGCTCATAATTCCTAGAAGAGGTGAATGCGTAGTCGAAAGAGAGTATTAGTCTCGGGGATACAAAACTGGGGAGCTCCAACTTTCGAGCTTATTAAGCTTATTACGTAATCAGTTGACGCAATTGGTCGTATATATTATTGCTGCATCCGAAGATTAGGTAGAAGGACTTAAAAGATATCAAATGACATCTTACGATCTGACTAGCCACCAAGCATTCATAGACAAGTCATATGCGTACTTAACTATATAAATATAGAATAATCAATATTACTCTTTACTTTATTATTTTCAGTCAAGTGGGCAGTGAGAAAAAATTGGTATCAAACAACGGAGATGAGCTTGATAAGTAAGTTGTTCTTGCATTGCTTGTATCGTCATCTGACCCAACCACTTCATACATTCTTGGTGCTTCATGTTAATGTCTTCTCTGCCAAATTCATCAGAGAGAATGCTATCAACGCTCTCTTCTTAAAAATTTGCTGTCAGGAGAGCTAATTTTCGAATGAATGTCTCAATAGAAAAGAAACCAGCTTCATCAAGCTTTTCATTTCTCTAAGCCCCATAAAGCTGTCTTTGCTTCCAGTAATGGTTTCCAATCATGGTTGTAGAAGCTCTTATAGCTACGACCCTCAATACGTTCAAGCTTTTGCCTCTTTTTGTTTCTTTCGTGAATAGGCCGGGAAATAGCCTCAGTTGATTATTAAACTAAATAAAAAAACGAGAGGGTGACAATGATATGATGGAGAGAAAGAGGAAGCTATGACAGCCATAAGGTTTACTTTTCAAAATCACTGTGATAATTTAGGACAAAGCTGTTCAAAGAGAAAATCCCTCTCTATCCTCTCTGTTTCATTACTTTCTGTTAAAGTTTGTCAAGTCTGGAACTAATTAAGAATCATTTGAACAAATTGCCATTTTCATATGCTCAGCTTTATCTCTCTCGCTACCTCTCTCTCTCTCTCCCTCCTCATATCTCTCTATCTCTCTTAAGACATTCATATATCTCTTTCTTCATAAAAAGTCTCGCATATATTTCGAAAACTCTCAAAACATGAGTCAACAATCTTTTTCATTTGCATATTCGCTTTACGCGTACACCTCACGTAAACGTGAATCGATCATTTGAATGTGCAAAGACGCGATGATCGGTTGATCTTTTAAACTTCCTATCTTTTCTCCCCATTCTACTTCATCAGTTCAACCCACTTAACTTCATCTCTGGAAGCTTTTTCCTTCTTCTTCATCTTCTTCTTCTTCGTCTGCATCTCTCTTTCGTTCTTTTTCAAAAATTTGTTGAAGAGCATGGAGGGTCATGTGACTAAGAAAGATATTAGATGTGGCTATAGGATGTAGCTCTGAATGTCTTCAGAATCTTGAAGGAAACGAATGATGAGAAACATATTTTGTGAAACTGCGACTCGTAAATCTGATCTCATTATTGAGAAATGAGCCTTTTCTAATAATCTAATACAAATTTTCTAAAAAGAAAGAATATGAAAGAAGAAGGAGAAGAAGATAGAAAACGAATTACACATTGTACTTTGACATAAATTTTCAATTTTAAACACAAAAATCAATTCTTTTATTTAAAAAAATGGTTGAAGGAGGAATGGAGAGAAGCATCAGAAAAGCGATTAAGAATACAAATGAAGCTTTGATTCATAGAAATCATTCATTCATGGTTCAATCACGTGCGAAAAGCATTTGAAAGTTGATTGTAAACACACATCATCATCATCATACAATTGGTGTTCATCTTTCATATATCTGTTTGCTTCAATGTGTCTGTCAACTCATTTGTGTCATTTCAGGCCATCATATGAAACTGTATACGGGTGGTCACAATCCTTTGATAATCTAATGAGAAATAAATGTAAGCTAATCATACCCTCCCACCAACCATCATCATACATCTTTACAGTAGGTCAAAAGTATTTTGCTGAATTTCTCAAAGGGGAGTACTCTGATGAGAACATTCTCTTCTGGCAAGCATGCGAAGAACTGAAGAGGGAGAAAAACGCAGAAAAAATTGAAGAAAAGGTATGCTTAGATAGAGTTAGCTAATCCGTTCAGTGGAATGACAAGAGATTACATATCTTGGCAGATATCAACGAATTATCTTTAATTATATATAATTTATTTAATTTTTTTTCGCCAATCTTGTCATTCCCAACCAAAATACACTGAAAATCAAATTTTTCAAAAAAAAAAAAGAAAGAAAAAAGAATTTCCTTTTAAGGCTCGAATTATTTATGAGGATTTTATATCAATATTATCGCCCAAAGAAGTCTCATTGGATTCACGAGTTAGAGAAATTGTGAATAATAATATGCAACGACCATCTGCTAGTACCTTTGATGAAGCTCAAAATCAGATCTTCACCCTCATGCAGCGTGATTCCTATCCACGGTTAGTTACTACTTACAAGTACATATTCCCACGTTCTGCTACGTCCACGTACACACTCACACACGTTTTTTCACGTCACGTATCTCTCTTTCTCTCACGTCACGTAGTTTTTCATTCAAATTCTCTATTTTGATATCAATTCACGCACAAAGCGGTTGTCGATGTTTTCCCTTACTTTCTCAGATATCAAAAAAAAGGATTTTTGTGTTAAAACAACATTCGTGGAAAAGAATTCGAAAATCAAGCTTCATAGATTCTTGTTTGCACCGACAACAGCTCCATCTTATACTTCCTTGTTTCAGATTTTTGGCATCCCCGATGTACAAGAACATGGTTGGGAACCACGGTGTATTAGAAGAAGTATAACAAGAACTTAAAGGAATTATTATTTTATATTCGGTGAAGTCAGCTTCCTCTTTCTTTCTACCTTGTTGTTTCTTTAAACTCATAATATATTTATATATTTATAGTTTTCAAAACAAATGAAAGCATTATATGCTGGTCAAACTTTTCCATTACCGATCCTCCAATTGATTCATTTCTCTCTCTCTCTCTCCCTTCCTCTCCTCTCTCTCTTGCTCTTCTTCCCAGACACAAAAAGCCCACATGTCTTTTCATCTCCATTCTTGGAATAAGAACATTTCCTGTATCTCAGCAGATGAAAAAACATCTTCTCACTCCTTTCTTTCCGAACACACACACACAAACTGAATAACTTGAGAAACTAATATGCATAATTCTATTTTCCATCTTCCCTCTTAGGTCTCTCATTATCCCAAATCTATCTTTCTTTTGTTCTCAGAAAATCTTTTAGCCATTAGAAAAGGTTTTGAGTTATCGCATACTCAGCTAATGTCTTATCACTTGGCCTTCTTCCAAAGAACCTTTCCTACCTGTAAATACGATTCCATCAGAATTCATAAGGATAACACAGATTCCCTGTTGTTTCTCTCTCTCTCTCCCTCTCTCCCTCTCTCTCTCTCTCTCTATCTCTTCTCATGGTGCCCTTTGCAACACTTTATTGTTTTTTGCAAGCAAACAAAGGAAAATCTAATAGAATTTCAACTGACATTTCACTTGACTCTGAGATCCAAGAGCATCTGTAAAGTTCATTTTATACCTTTTTGATTTGCATAAATCTCTTAACTGTATACCATATATGGTAAAAAGAACATATAAAAAAGGAAATTTGTATATATAATGTTATGTTATAATACCATATATCGTATAATCAGTTAGATTTTTACATATCTCATATTATTACATTTTCTATGCGGATAATGATAATCAAAAGATAATAGACTTTTCTTCCCATTCAACTTCCTCTTTCGAAGCAACTCTTCTCTCTCCCATCATCCTGTCCCTCTCATCCTTCCACCCACACATACACACAAACCGTCTCTCTCTCTCTTTACCTCTTACAATACACCCCTACCCCCAACCCCTTCCAACAACCATCTTCTGATCTAGACCGAGTCACCATTAGCTTAAACTTGTATGCCCTGCCCAGGCTGTGACAGCTTTCCGGCAAGTTCGCTACGGGATTCTCTTTTAATATATTCTACAGAGAGTTATTTTCTTTCGATTGACATGACCTCCTAATCTATAGATTGTCATATAAAGTAACTTCCACTGCTTTCTTTTGAAATATTGGTATTCTTACAAAGGTTGCTCTGAACTCATTGCATCAAATCTGTTCCTAGACATTATGTGGTAAGAAAAACTTCTAATTATCTCTTAGCTTGTTTCTAATCTTCCGAAAAGTTAAACAGCAAATGCAAAATGATCTCGTGACCGTTATCTTGCAAGAAAAGTTCTTTTTATTATTATGTTATTAAAAGTTATATGTATATCGATGTGTTTGTCAATAAAGATTTGTCTTATACTGAATCTTCCTTTCCATTTCTCTGTTCAATCTACAAACTACCATATCGACGACGATCATGACGAGAATAGACAGACACACACAGAAAGAGACATGAAACCATAAAAAGAGAGAAAGAGAGAAGAATCTTGCCCTCTCTTAACTTTTTTTTTCTTTATTTTTTTCGAAAAATAAATAAATTATACTGAAGGCTACTTTGCTACACTCACCCAACTAGCGCAGCGCAAACACAACCGTTCCCCGTCAATCACAACAGTAAAATGAAAACTGGGAACAAAAAATAGAAATCGCATATTGCCTTATGGAAGTTCCAAAATATTTTGTTTCGTCATCACTGACTTATTATATTAATGACATTTGTATAGTTTTAACTTTATATTCAGAGCGGCTAAACGTTGCGGCAACAGAAGCCGCTGCTGTGTGCTGCTGCTGCTGCTGGTGCTGCTGAAAGTTCATTCAACTCTGTTCTCTAATGGCTTCTCTTCTTTCACCAGTTCTATTCCTTTCCATTCTCAGTTCAGTTTCCTATATATATGATCTGAACATTTCAAATGACAACATCACGATCATTCATCTCTTCCCCACTTCCAATTATGGTACCATAAACTTTTTTTTTGCCCAACGATATGACAGTGCGTTCGAATAAACGCGCGTTCAATAGCGCGTCATTTGGCGTGCTCGTTGGATAAAATTGCGTTCTATTCCATCCCAGTCACGCTGTTCGTAATGCCAATGTTCTTTTTGCAATTGTTCTCAGAATTTTAGTCGTTTATAATTAAAATATATTAACCATATTTGTGTTTAATGTTTTCCGACCTTTCTTCCAGCAATTTTCCGTTCATTTATGTGATTTTTTCCAGGAAATTTTACCGACGTGACGGGTATAATGTTGGTGAAAAGTCTTGTGGCCTTGGCAACTGAGAAGATGTTATTAAAAACATCAGGGAAAACTTTCTTAAGAGGTAATTATCAAATATTTGAAACTGTTATCTATGACATATGTTGTTCAGGAATTGATTTTATGTATTCTGCCGGGTTAGCTCCTGATCGCTTGTCTGTAATGATGACAGCGTCAGGAAAGTATGTTCTGCAATTTCATTCAAAATGTGATATCCGACCTTTCGCCGTGAGTTCTTCAGACAAAAAGATAATCTAATTGACCATATTAGGCTAATTATCCGTCATTTACAAGAGTATTACGTGGTATTGTACATGTGAAAGCATGGAGGATTAAGTCAATTGAATTTGTAAATGTTGCCTTCGATATCAAAGATGTTGATAACTTGGAAAGGACGGTTGAGGTGGGTTGTTAGCACATAAGCTTTACGTTTCTTCGACTTACTATCTTTTACACACTTTATTTGATTATTCTCCGTTAATTTCTTTTAATAATTTTTGAACAAGCCGAATACATATCGATTGTCCTATGCCCTTTAATGATGTCTAAGTACGCTAAGTGCATATGTCCTTGCACTTTTCTAGGGAGATAGTTCTATGAAGAGCCCGTTTCAATCAATTCTCTCATTGATATCTCTTTAGAAGTTGGAAGTTGAACTAGTTTTACTGAGGAACTGTTGCTATCCAGGTGTTCGCAGAGGTGATGAAGCCATACGTTTCCTCAATGCTTTAAATAGAAAGAAGCAGGTAAGCCACATAGTTCACCTCTTTGATCATTGGACTTAATGAATTCAGGCCGTTGTATGTGAATATGGTGATATTCGATTGAAGCATATGATATCTCGTCAACCTCATCATAGACAATCTTCCTACCTTACTAGTCAACAGGTGTTGATACCGCCTATGATTTATGAGTTATATCGGTATGTTAGACTGTCTGGGCTTCTGTTTATACTTCTGTTGTTAAGGTTTTTACAAAACGAAAACGGTCGCGTGCGACGTAGGGATGTACCATATGCCATCAGAAGGCGGAGGAATCAAGTACAAACGCCTCTGCTGCTATCCTAATGTATCTCTTTCTTTATAGAATGTTCGCCGAGAAAACGAGCCCGCGAGAGCTGGCGTGTCGCCTGAACTCATAGATCTCTTCAATAGATTCTATGATAACCGCGCTCAAGTTCACTTACCCAATGACGCTCGAGCTCACATTCGGTTTCGACGTCAAGAACCCGGACCGGATGGTGAAGGCGGTGACATAGCGATAGTTTTTGAGCCATTAGTACGTTCAGAGGCTGTTCATACGCTCTTCAGTGTAATTTTTTTTCCAGGATGAAGATGCACCTAATGACAACAATGAGGAGAGGGTTGACGCCATCAACAGGGTAGATGAAGCTGAAGCCCCGACCGACGAAGAAGCTGAATGGTAGCGTCCATAGGTTGTCTAATCTTCTTTCAAACTTTTTCCTCTTGAGAGTTTTCCTTATCATCAGATCTCAAACTCATATAGATATATCGATTGATCATGTATTATATTATTAGTTCTAACTATTGATCCTCCTCACTAATGTAATAACGCTAGAAACTTATTCGGAAGTCTTATATATATTTCTATTTCGCATTCATAACGATAGTTTGAAATTTTGAATCCATAGGTGCTAATCATAATAGTTCCCAGCAAAGGCAATATTAAGGTTTTTAGAGGAAGAGACGAGTGTGTTGTCCTAGACATAATTTTCTTTTTTAGCTTTCTCTCTCTCTCTCTTCACCTCCCCTCTAAGTCTTGTTCATTATTTTTTGACACAAAAAAGGTTTTGCCTTTAAAACCTAACCCTATATAGTCAATGTTATTAGTAGTTATTGGCAAATGATCTCAAGATCATTTCTTCTCGTCTGGAGAATGTGTTTTCACATTGTTTTATGAAAAATAAGTTTATCCGTTTGTAGAAAGATGTATATATCTCTATTCTGGTATATATATATATATATGATATATAACAGCATTGTTTTAACTTTGCAATCACCATTCACTTAACAGATGATACAACCCACTTCCCATTTGTTCATGTTTTCAATAAAACTTTCTAAAGACTTCTCTTCGTCTTCCGTGATATATCCCATCGTCCTAAAGCCGTACATCTATGTGTAGGGTGTGTGTGTGTGTGTATGCATCACGCTGCAAGAATAAGAGAGTGAACACTTCCTCTTCCGTAATGCTAATGTGATGTTCGCCGTGTGCACACCAATGATACACTCTCTTATCTTTGTGCTCTGTTCTTTGGTCATACTGTCTTGATTATAACAAATTATCTTGAAATTTTCTTTATCATAGAGAATATGTATACCCTAAGTGGAAATTATCATTCACACATGTGCCGAATGCCTTCGAGAAACCCATAGTTCTGATTTCTCGTAAATACCAGTAAAATTTGCGATAGTTCTCATTTTCTTCCGGATAAATAACTCCTTTCAAGGCTATCTGCTGTATTTGATGTTTTTTCTTTTGCAACAGATAGACCATATCAGGGATTATATCCCACTCAGCACCTTGCGTATCAACGAGGAGAAGGTCAATCCTACTGATATTCTGCTTGTTGAGGATTTTCTCTGAAAACAGTGTATAATTAGATTACAACTAGGAAGTTTACCTAAGCTTTCTAATCTCCATGATTGATCTGGTGATTCTTCGGCCTTATTGATTGCTACCCCAACTCTGATATGATTTACATTGTGTGGAAGGTTACTGAATTGATATCTTTACGGCCATACTAGGAGGAAGACCAACCTGAGATGTTCAGGTTGAACTAAGTGGATCTTATCGATTTTTTGCAAAACTTCTGGAATGTTGGGAACTGTCAGTTTCCCGTAGCTGAGAGAAAAAGAATTTTTTCAATTGGATTTGTAATAGATGCTTGGTACCGTATTAGGACAACTTGGCTATCCTTCAGCAGATTTCTCGCACAAAAGTGTGGGAAGTCTTCGGATTTGATGACGAAACAGTTATCCTTTCGTGTGCTCATCTCCGATATCAATCTCTTCTTCTCTTCTATAGGTGATCCTGGAAAGGATTGGATTCAAGCAGAGCTTATGATCATCTACAATACCTAAGCCGAATACTGGTGCTGTTAGTGTAGGAAATCCTTTATGATTGACAAGACTAATATGGTATCGACAAGACTGACTTTGGAAACCACAAGATCCACTTGGATAAGCTCCAGATATGGCATAGTCTTTCTCAAAGAATAGCCAGTAGAACAAACGATACCTATTGATGCATTTCTATTAAAGCAATGTAAATTGTAAATTTACCACTCTGATAGAACTCGTTTGCCTTTATCATTATCATCGGGCGGAACATGTATAGTTATCAACATATAGTTAGCAGGCATTTTCAACAGCTGAAACTATATGTGTGAGGGATAGTGTTCTGGCCTTATATCATTCATCAGTTATTCACTGTAGCTTATGTCTATATCTTAGGCAGTAACAAACCTTCAACAGCTTCCGAATGACTGAAGGCTGATCGTAGTTCTCAAAATATGGCGTGTAAAGCTCAAACTTCATGAATGAAAATGTTTTTCCTTTGACTGCCTGTTCCATGTCCCACGTATGCCAGTGATCCCATGATGAAAGCTCAGTAAAGTAATTAACTTCTACATCACCTGAATATAGTTACTGAGGCTTGTATGAACGAGCTGGACTTGCCTAACAGATTATCAATTATCGTGCTGTCCTCAGGTAGGAAAACCGTCCATTTGGAAATATTCAATTGAGCTTCGATGTCTCCATTGGAAAACGAATTACCCGTTATCGTCAGTCCAGTTCTATGGAATTCTTACATTAGTTGGAGATGTATTGATTGAACCAACTCGAAATTATTATGAATTTCAGGACAAATTACGAATGTCTGACGTGAATCAGCAATGCGCAATGAGTTCTTACATTCGATTTGCTTTGATGCGAACAATTCATTCAAACGAAGACGTTCAGCCAAAGGATTATGTAACCGTTCAGGATTCTCAATATCGATCGAAGACCACAAAATAGTTGGAAGAAAACTGAAAAATAACAAAAAATAATTGAAAACAGTGGAAACTGCAGTGAGATCAACCGCGTTGTCAGAACAATTTGTGATAAATGACGTCAAACGTGGCTACGTGAACGTAATGCGTGGGAATATGCAAAATAGCTTATGATTGAACGTCATCTAATTCATTCAATTAGCATAAATTGTTGGATGGAAATGGCAACAAAACAATAGAAAAACAAAAGTACTTACGATTGTGGAAGTATTTGGTTAACAAAGTCTGTTTCAATGGTGTATTCCTTATACAGACGATAGATGAATAGGAAGAGTGAGCCAATGAATAAACATCTGAAGAACAACAACGACTTCAAGAAGAACATGATGCTAAGTTCATTCACATCTGTAACTCTTTAACATTAGATTAACAGTCGTTGTTGTCAAAAACAAAAAATGGAAGAAATTGAAAATCTTTTTCTTTATAGTAAGTAAACTAGACACATGGCCATTGATAGTTGTTTTGAAGAGAAGAGGTCGACATGACCTTGTGCATGAAGAACATCTCTGACCCTGTATCTATTATATTCTGGTTAAACGAATTCCGGGAACGGTTTCTATGAATGAATAACTACGTCTGCGAAATAAAATGACCGGAAAATCTGTATTAATGAAACAGTCCGAGTTATGCATGTTGCCACACGCACTGTGTAAGTCTTGTGATGGAAATGAAAAGCTGAAGAGATTGAACTGAGAAACCATTTGACCCGACCGATTTCTATTTGATTTTTAAAAATGAAAATTATATTTCATATATGGTCTTTTCATCTTTTGACGAGACTTTGAGCATAATATTCTCGTGGGCTCGTGATTGGCCGGACAAAAGGCTCATACAAACAGTTTGAGAAGTGAGAAGTGTCTTTCATAGCCGCCACAGTAAATTTCTCTCTCTCTCTTCCTTCTTTTGACTTTCTTCAGTTTAATCTCTCTCTTTATATGGTCAAGAAAAGAAGTAAAATTCATAACAAAAGAGCGGCTAAAGCACAATACTGGTCGGCCGTACCAGCAATCCTGAAGATTATTTGCATGTTGCTATTCCTAGATGCTATACACCATATTTATAGCTTTGAACTAACTTTGAACAACTGATAATGGTTCATTTCCCTTCTTCTTCTTCTTCTTCTTTCATAACTGCAAACGTTCGTTCTCGTCATCTGCTTTACTTGCTTCCTCATTGCTTTCTAATTATCTTTTACTTCACAATCGTATAAATTGAAAATCAGGTTAAAGACACACAGTGCTCCATGTTTCATTTCATCTATCTCCATTCTAAACGCTTAATTGTAAAGTTTTAAGAACTTGTTCAAGAAACAATTATCATGCGATAAACTACTTCTTCCGTAGTGGATGTACCTCTTACTTGGACGTTCCTTCCAGATTATAGTCAAGGCGAACCTATCTATCTCTCTTTGTCAAACCTTCCTTCGCTCAACTTCAAGTTGGGATATCTATTGCTTTATGATGCAATGAAGCTTTCAATTAGCTTTTCCTTTTTTTTATCTCAAGGTCTTTGCGATAGTGAAAACCTGAGACTCGTCAGATATCCATCGCACCTTGGAGAACACAAACTCTTAGAGTTAGACGTTGACCGTCTAGTCGTACCATCTCTCCCTCCTCAGAATGACTGTAAGCATGATTTTGCGCGTCAAGTGAACTTCCGTAGCTAGCTGTGTTCGTCCCTTCAATGGTTAATTCTCTAGAACCGATTGGCAGTCAGGTTTTCATTTGAAATATATGACTCATTCAGTACAGCTTTCCATCAGCTTCTGCATCATCTTTTTAACAAATTTCAAAGAAGGCCCAGTTTATCTAGTAGCAATAGCCTTGTCATTGAACATCTATGACCATTTGAAGCTTTGAATCATCGACATCTTGTTTTTTGCAATTGACATCTTCTGCCAAAGTGCTGTGTAACTTTCGACACCTGATTTACCTGAGAGGACACGTGTTGAAGCTTCTGAAGAGAAGCAAAAATACCTTGACGTCACTTTTTGAATCTTACGTGACTTCCATACGTGACCCTCTTACCTGAAATGTCTTTTTATGTTCATCCCCCTTAAATGCGCGTGCTTGTCTTCATTGCTCTCTCACCACCCTCTCTCTCACCCGTCTCATCCATCCGATTCTCAGTTTACATCCAATTTCTTATATAATTATATTAAATGATTCCATTCTCCTGCGTACAAATTACTAATTTGTTATTATATTTATATTTCATAGCTAACATCTCTCTGATAATCGCTTAAACAAGTAATGAACTGATGAGATGATGAGACGATGATATGACCATTCATCATAATTCGTTTTATTAAAACATATTCTGTAAGCTGAAGTAATGATTGACTCTCTCTAATTCGTGTTATCTCTTTGAACATCTATTTAGTACAAAGATAGAAAGATAAAATACAAAAAAAAAGATATATTAAGAGACATAGTAAGAGAGAATGGTCACTGAAGCTGTCTCAACCAAGTTTGTCAACTAGTTATAGACTTGTATGTCCATATTTGGTGTAGTTGTCAAGTTGAGCCTAGACTAGTTCGAGGAGTAGCCGGCTTAGTCCCCAACAACGTTTCATCTCTTTCCCTCCTCCTCTCCCTCCCAGAACAGTCAAAGAAAGAGGGAGAGACAACGAGGAAATGAACAGTCATATATTGTAAAGTATCTGGATAAAAAGATTTAGAGATAGAACTGTGCAGTTGAAAACACTTAGAGGGAGAGAGAAAGAGAGAGAGAGAGGAAAAGATTTAGAAGGATTGGTGTGAGACGTTCAAACCATGAGTGACTGTAGAACGTTACTTCTGACATTCTAACAAAGGGCTTCTCCATGCCACCAATAGACTTTTGGCTTCAGGCTGTTAACAAAGGATGGATTCCTCTCATTCAGTCGTTTTCATATTTTTCCTTAATTCTTCGCTACTTCAAAGCTTAATCCACATTCTAACCTAGCTGCTATACTGACTTTTCAACAGTTTTTTGACTTTCCGTCAATTGTATGGCCAACTGTTTGTTCGTCATCCTCTTCTGATGACCCCGTTATGCGTTAAGTCCGGCGTCGACTTTCCACTTTTTGTGCCCTCAGGGCTATAGCACTAGCCTTCACGTTGTTCCAGTTGAAATCTTTTTTTAATAGATCTCAAAGCTCTTAACTAGCTAGGAATCAATGTTCCTTTGTATATGAAGACGTATGACAAAATGAAACTATGAAGCAAATCGTAGGAAGGCGAAAAGCTAATTCGTCTGTGCTCAAGTATGGTGTAAGCTAGTTTCTGAGTACCATTGGCTTTCCCACGTCCGAAAATGAACTTTAGCTAGAAACTTCATCTTCTGCTTTCCCTCATACACTCACTCTCATTCACCTTCAACATCATGATGTTGTTTAGAGGTTTTGTTGTGTTGTTATAACTCCTTGAACAATCTCTTGATTTGGTTTTTTGGTTTTTTGTAAGATTGAGGAAACCTTTGCGATTCTTGTTCACACAGTTTCATTCCAATCGTTTATTCAGGCTTTTAAACAAGATAGTTCATTCTTTCTTTATTTCCATACAACCACAAGCCCATTATACAGATTGTATCATAAGCAAGTTCTTGTCATTCAAACCCTCTAAGCCCTTATCCGTTTCCTCATTTTATTAAAACTATCAAGATTTTGATGTTTTTTTGTGTTTTTCTCTGTTTTTCCCAACTTCTGAGAGTTTATTCTGCTTTTCAAATGCATCTTCTCCATTTCACGAATACTTCGCAGATGTTTTGTCTCCTCTGACCAACAGGTAAACTAGTTGTGAACTCCTATGATCAAGAAGATGAAGACCCAGATTTGCAACTGACCAGCCCTTTTACCTGTCATAACCTTTCCAGATCCTTTTACATATTTCAATTCTTGAACACTGTTTCAACACAACCTGTCATCAACTACCAGACTATCATACTTTTCCAAATGTTTCAGTTTCGATTTCACCTGATGACCAAGTGTCCTCTCCCTTTCATGTTTCAATTTTATTGGAAAAACATTGAAAAAACTTCTGCTTACACGTTATGAGCGTTTTTCTGTAATTTGAATAGGTAACAACTAGCCGTTTGTAAGATCGTTAGATTGAAAAGTATGATGCCGGAGGGGCATGACGAAGAGATCGCCCGAGGTCTCTAGCCTTCAACTGGTTTTTCATCCTCACTAAATCCACCTTTTCTTTTCGAACTATCCCTCTCATTTGAACATTCAAACAACAAACTCTCTCCGTTTCTCTTTTTCTATCATTCTCTATTCATCAGCCTCTTTTTGGCTTATTCTCATAACCTCTCTGCTAGATGTCACAAGCCTCACTGGTCAGACTAGAACCAGACTTCAACCATTTAACTCTCTTTCTCTCATTCTATAATATTCATTTAATATTTCTGACCATCTGTACTTAAAGGACACCCAACTTCACAGATTATCTCCATTTATTGTGACTAAATTATATTTTACAAAGCATGTAAACGTTAGGAGGAGTAAACGCTTCTTCTATGCCTTCTTCTAGTCAACAGACCGCTCAACATCATTCGTACAATGAAAATGTCTTTTGTAGTGACGTGAGAAGCTTCACGTGAAACGTGATTCATTTCTACTCACGTGATGATGATGAACGGTTGCATTCTCAGCTTCTTCTTCATATTATTTCGAAATGTGTATATGTATGTGTGTATGTATGTGTTTGTTGCCATCTAAGGCGTTACAACTGTCCAGACGTTTCATTCATCTTCTGTCGCTTTCGCTTTTTGTGTTGGTTTGATAAAAAGAGATTCTTGATTTTCTCAGCTTTTTCTTATAATTCGTAACAATTGACCTAACTAATCTTCATAACCTCGACTTGATTCGTTTTGTTCTTGTTTGTTGTAACTAGTTTGGTGTTGGGATTGAGAGAACCTTCAAATCTTTTAAACTTTACCTCCTTTCTTCATAAATTCCTTTTTATATCTTTCTATCAGCTGGTGTTATCCAAATAAGGTATATCGTTTACACCATCCATCTTAATCATTCAGAGAAATGAAAAGAAAAAAGGATAAGCTGATCTCCGATGGCCATCAGTTCCTACAAACGTCTTTCCAACAACTTTCTCTTTTTCCTATTTCATTCTTTATTCGGATGCATGTCCCTGGCAAGAAACTAGATCCGGTTTGCCTCAGCTGTTTCCTTATTAGTCTAAAGTTCCAATTAGGCTTAATTGAATGATATCTCTTATCTTCTTCAAGGTGTCATGGCTTTCATTAACTTTTCATTTCATTTCGGCTTTATCATTTCTTGAGTTCTCGTCCGACCATATCTTATCTTCCCTTAGCAGCCCATTTCCGTCAATTTATTTTATTTTCAACAGTAGTTTCCCTTCTTCTCATTAGCTTCTTGCTTCCACAAATAGAATATTCAAGAAGTTTTCTCCTCTTTTCGGTGACTCCGCATGATGATTCTCTTGATTTTTCAATTTCTCAATTGAAAAGCATATGACGTGATGGTATAGTCTAGCCTAAGGCATCAACTTACTCATCACACCTTTTCCATATAAGGAAAGCGTTTGTCTGTGTTTCTCTGAAAGTTTTGCTCAGTTTATTCTTCTTGATTTGTATCGTTTGAAAATCCTTCAAGTTTTAAATGACGACAGTTGCAGATTTAAACGATCAGCCTGCTGTTGTCCTCCATAATATCCCGGACATCGGAGACAAGACGGAATACCATATTCATACAAACTCTCTCAAACAGTTTATATGAGAAACTGTATATACACTACCTATATCATATATAATTAATATATTCAATTAAATATATATTTATATATAAATAGGTAACATCATCTGTCTTCAAGTTGCCAGGTTGAAGCCAAGTGAAAACTGGCTAAGAACGAAGAAACACACAAGCTACAACTGCTGAAGTCTCATACATTCACATTTGACAGGACATTCATCTCATCTCTTTGGGTAGTCAGTCAGCCTGTTATTGGCCAAACTTGCCATTCCTTCTTCTTGTCCTCCACCTTGCCATTTGATCATCGAATGTCCGAATGATTATCTATTTGTTAATATTAAATAGTTTCTTCATTATAAATTCTGTTGAGGTGAGTTATCTGAACCTCTTTCCATCTAATCATCAACTCTTCTTTACAGTCGTTACATCATAAGCTCACAAAACGAGAAATCCAACATGTGTTTGGAGTTGAGGAGAAGCATCAAGTAAGTTTCAATCAAAAAGCTTCTTGATGATATCATATAATTAAGATTCCCACCTATCATATGATAAAACCTGAAAAGTATGAAACAGAAGATGGCCATCTACGTATGAAGTTCGATGCCTTCGACAACACTTATGAGATGCAACTCAAGCCGAACACAAGGATCATAAGCCCTCACTTGGTGATTATATTAATCTTTTCAAATTTCAACCTGTTCTGAGCGTCTGAGGGTTATCGAATGACGTTTCTGACAGCTGCATTGAAATTAGCATACGTGTACATGAACATTAGAATATTCCAGATATCCGTCATTAGGAATGGAACGGACGCGAAAGAGTTCAAAGGCTTACCTCTGAAAGCTGATTGTCACTATCAAGTAAAAGCAATGAGGATTAGAAAAGTAATGAAAAACATTTAGGGAAACCTCTTATCTCATTCAAATGAGAGGGTGGCCATTTCTGATTGTAATCAGCTGATGGGTACTCTTCACATGGATGATCACTTTCTTATAATACAAACAGTTCCTCATCGTGTTCAGCATCATCAGGTATAGTTGAATAGAAGATTGTAAACAACGGAAGAAGTTGTTCAGGAAGAACGTCATCTCGTTTTCAAAAGATCAGCTGGTCTATTAACAGACCTGGAGAGACATTTTGAAGAAGAGATAGTTCGATTAAACGAAGAACAAGAACCATTCTGTGATACTAGTGAGTCGCTGGATGATCCTCTTGGACGTGAGTTCACACTCATGTGATGCTAATTAATTTTCGTTTTAAGCTCAAATTCTGTCGTTGAACTATTCAATCCCCTCATCAGCACAACTTGATTCACCTTTCATTTTCCCTAATATGGATGCTATCACTTTGGAAATTGGCTTATTCCTTGATTCAAAGCTTTTCGAACACTTTCAAAGAGAGTATATTCAAGACCCAGAACAACATCTGATGGACTTCTCTTTGGCTCTCATCAACAATGTTCACGTCCTTTATCAACAGCCAACTCTTTCTCCTAACATCGATATCATAATCGTTCGTTATGAGATGTGGAAAAGTCAACCAGTGAGTTTAACCCGAACAGAGTACGATGGAACTATTTGTATTGCTCAGAGTAACTTGGATACTTTGGTACACAAAGGAGGACAGGCCCAAGCTTTGCTAGATGCTTTCTGTAGACATCAGTCTCATATTAACCCAGGAACCGACTTGACAGATATGGGACACTGGGATCACGGAGTCTTGCTGACAGGGTAATCTTAAATTTCTTGAACTTGTTCACTTTCGTATAGATATGATATATACCATACCACGTCGTCAGTAGCTGGAGTTGCACCGGTAGCTCGAATGTGTGATCCATTATTCGCCTGTTCATTGGTTGAAGGATTACATTTGGGACGTTCGTTCGTTCTGGCTCACGAAATGGGACACAAGTAAGAGAGAAGAAAATAAATCACTCTTATATCGATCATTAAGCATGGGAATGGTTCATGATGGGGTCCAGAACCAATGTAGTCGATCATGCTGTCTGATGTCAGCTGTAAACGGAGCAGGCAAAACAACATGGTCGGAGTGTTCAGTTCGAGAATTCAATGCCTTCCTTCTTCAATTAGAGTAAGATTTAATTTAGTCTCAACAATAATCGTCTGTTTGTAGTGAGTCCGGTAGAGGAAACTGCTTGAGGGATTCGTCCCCTGGCCTGATCTCTCACAATCATTTGAACGATGTTCGATTACCCGGACAGCGGTTCACAGCTGATCAACAGTGTTCCTACTTCTGGGGTAGAGATTACCAAGTTGAAATCCCAGCTGGGCGGTCTATGGAGGTTAGCAGAAATTCAGTGTTTTTGCATCTGTTTTAATTATTGTAGGATATCTGTCGCATCTTATGGTGCGGGAACAGTGGCTCTACCATATCAACAGCTCATCCAGCTCTAGAGGGAAGTTGGTGTGGAGATAACAAAGTAAAATTACAAGTTGAAAAACTTCTTAATTAATATGTGTTATAGTGGTGTCATGAAGGACGATGTGCTTCATGGCCTAATGGTGAACAACCCCTTGTTGTTCATGGCCAATGGTCTGACTGGAGCAATGGAGAGAAACTATGCCCTGTGCAGCAGTGTCATATTCAAGGCTCAATCACAATAAAAGCTCAACACAGAGACTGCGTAAACCCCGCGTGAGTTACCTGAATAAATAAAATAATGTAAATGTTCAACCGATCTGCACGTCTGTGAGTAAAGAAATGACGTAAGCATATACCTCACGCGCCGTGTAGCTTCATTAGCATGAATCAACTAAATAAGATATTAGCATAATTCATATTCAATTTTTAGTCCGAACAATGGTGGAAGGACATGCAAAGGTTCTTCAATCCGTGGTAGCATTTGTGGTTCTCATATTTCTCATTGTGACCATGGATTATCAAGAGAAGAATTCAGTAATCGGGTTTGTGCCGCCATAAAAAATGATCCTTTCAAACCTGACTTACAACTTACCGGCGAAGGATTTGATCGTAAGACGGGATATCTTTCTATTCCTTTCATCATGGATCTAAAATTCAGATTCTACTCAGCCATGTCGCGTCTGGTGTCATTTGGTTGATTCGGAGTTAATTCGTAACAAAGGACAGTTCCCAGATGGGGCTCCTTGTGGTGACAATCAGTTCTGTGTCAGTGGAGTATGCTTGGTACTGTCAAGAGATATGACCAATAGATGAACGAATGCATTTCCAGAACGTTGGGTGTTCGAACAAGGCTCTGATTGAAATGGATGAGGATTGTCCAGCATTCCAAGGAAAGAAATTAGGAAAATGGAATGATTGGTACACAATTTTTAACAAAACTTTCTAACCGATTCTCAATAGGACCAAGTGGTCAGATTGTTCCGTGTCCTGTGGAGATGGTGGTCACCAACAGAGAAAGAGAAGTTGCGTTGGAAGAAAGTGCAAAGGTCAGTGCGAGTTTTCGATATTGAAGCTAAAGAGAATTGTTGTTTTAGGAGTTTCCGAAGAACTAAGAAACTGCAATCCTCCACCACCGGAATGTTCGTCGTTCAGTGACTGGGGCGAATGGACAGCGTGTAATGTGAACTGTGGTTCTGGCACTCAGAGGAGGAAGCGAATCTGTTTATACGGAGATTGTGACACAGATCTTTTGGAAGAACGAAAAACTTGTGACAAGGTTGGAGACAGAGAGTTAGCTGCATCACATAATCTGTTTAGCCCTCTTGTTGGAACGAATGGTCCGACTGGTCAATATGTAGTCAATCTTGCGATGGTGGAGAGCAACAGCGAGAGCGAACGTGCTCCGATATCAAAGACGATTGCGCTGGAGATAGAATCGAAGTCTCAGAATGTAACACAGAGGTATTTGTTCACAAAGTTTGACTCATAGAATCATCTCTTCAAATTCAGCCTTGTAAAAGCCATGATGAAGAATCTTCCTGGGGTGATTGGTTACCATGCTCAGTTTCTTGTGGAATCGGTTTCCAAATCCGTGAGAGGTTGTGCGGAGGAGTTCTCTGTACTACAGCTAATAAACAAGCTCGTACATGTAATGAACAGGTATGGCCTCGAGCTTTCAAACACTTTCTTTGAACACTACTTACAGTCATGTCCAAAATCAACCGAGATCAAATGGGACGATTGGGGTGTTTGGACTGAATGCTCTGCAACTTGTGGTGAAGGAATCCAAACAAGGCATAGAGCTTGTCTAAGAGGTAGATTTTACTAAATTCTTACAGTGAACTAAACATTCTCCAGGAGACTGTCCGCCAGAAGAATCGAAAAGAGAGCGCCGATGTGTTAACAAGCCATGCCCTGAAGTCACCTGGAATGAATGGTCTGATTGGACCAATTGTTTGTCATGTTCTTCGACCGAAATTCATGAAAGAACAAGAACTTGCTCTAATGGTCATACAGGCAAAAGATGCTTCGGTGAGGAGGAGACACTCAGCTTTTTTGAAATTTGTGTTCTAGGTTCTCCTATTGAGGTTGAAACTTGTGATCGATGGTGTGCAGCTGTTAACCATTCTAATGGAAAACGACGAGCGATTGAAATTCTGACAGCACAAGGAAAACGAAAGGTGTTCTATTCTATTATTTCGATTATAACAATCAATGTTGAGGTTGTTGCACATGGAGAACGAATAGTTCCTATAAATGAGAAGGAAGAGGAAGCACCTGATTCCGACTGGAGTCATTGGAATGAATGGACATCTTGCAGTGCTAGCTGTGGTGGTGGAACACGAAGAAGGTTGGAGATAGTCGAATTGAAAAGAAAACATTAGATGTTCAGAACTCGTGTTTGTATGGGAGTGAAATGTCCTCTGCAGCCTTTACAAGTGGATAGACAAAGTTGTAACACAGACTCATGTGACTTACTAGGTAGGAAATTTCTCATCTGAGTTCAAACAAAGGTTTTATCCTTCAGGAAATCATTGGAGTCCTTGGACTGACTGGTCAGACTGTAGCGTTTCTTGCGGAGTGTCTGGATTACAAACTCGAAGACGTCGCTGTACGGCATTTTTCATATTCCAGGTCTGATGAATGATCCAACCGTTTATTAAAAATATTCATCTTTAGTGCTCTGGTGCATCATTAGACACGAGGAATTGTCCAAACTTGAAACCTTGTCAGTCTGAGATTTCTCAGGAAGTGCAATGTACTCGTTTACTTAGTAGTTCTCAAATGATTCGATAAATTACAGATCCCAACTGGTCTCCCTGGTCTTCTTGGTCGTCATGTTCTTGTTTCACGTCAACTGAAACACGTCGTCGTTTCTGTAGGATTGCTGATCCATCAGTACAAGGCTTCTGTTCGGGTCCGATTTTGGAACAACGACCATGTGTGGCATCCGTAAGTGAATCTCTATATTGCCACTCAATAATTTGTTTTGAAGAATTGTCTTTCGTCACCTGGTGGATGGTCGCTCTGGTCTGAATGGTCTGTCTGTTCCAAAGACTGCCAAGGCACTGGACATCAAATTCGAAACCGAATGTGTAGTGAGCCTATACCAGCTAACAAAGGACCATATTGCAATGGATACTCCTTCGATCAGCGAAGTTGTTCGTCTAATGAAGTAAAAACTATATCCGGATATCGGTTAAATGAGATCGTTCAGCAATGCGGGACAGCCATAGATGGCGGTTGGACAGAATGGACTGACTGGAGTGAATGCTCAGATTATTGTACAAACGGACATAAAAGTAGAACAAGGTATCTTAACAGTATCAATTTCTCCCTTCAATAAGACATTCAGATTCTGTTCCAACCCTCGCCCTTCGCAAGGCGGTCAACCATGCTTCGGCTCAGATTTTGAGTTGCAACCCTGTTCGGACGCTTCTAAGTGTCCTCACTGTAAGTTCATAGCCAACAGCTGAACTCCTGATGCAATCACTTATTTCTTGAGTTTCTATCAATTAACAACTAGAAGTTGACTGTACTAACATTACTAACTGAATGTTCTCATCTATCACGGCTTCATTTACCCAGCTTCAGTTGAATGCATTGTTCGGTTTTTTCTGTTTTAGCTCATCGAGATGGAAGTTGGAGTTTGTGGTCGTCATGGTCTGATTGTCCAGCAAACTGTGGATTTGCTTTACAATCAAGATATCGTTCATGTGATTTTCCACCTCCATCAGGAGCTGGACTATCATGTAGAGGTCTTGCTGTGCAAAGCTCCATCTGTAACTTAAATTTTTGTCCGGGTTCGTATGAAAAGACGTTCAAACGTTTCTGTGAGAAGTAACGAAATTTGTTTTTTACTCAGCTCAGATGGGAGTAGACGGATCTACTCTATTTCAGCTCAAATTTCCATTTTGTTCCTTTTTTCCATAATTTTATTGCATGTGATGGAAATTTTAGTTTCTTCAGTTTTATTTTTATTCCAAAAGAACATTTGCATGTGGAAACACGGAGCACTCAGAACTGTCAAGCAAGCGTCACGAATTCTTATTGTTTTCATTCAGAATCACGGGATGGCGAATGGTCAGCCTGGAACGAATGGTCTTCTTGTATTTCAAACTGTGGCTCAGGCTCTCGAACGAGGTATAACTTTGTTGATACTTCCTTCATTGAGCAATCTCATTTGATAGAATTCGTGGTTGCTTATCTCCTAGTCCATCTGATGGTGGTTCTCCCTGCTTTGGACGTAGCTCTGAAGTAGAAGAGTGCTATGATACAAACGACGATAGCTTCTGTAGTCGTTTTGTGCAAAACTCACAGGTTGTCGATTCACAGGTCTCCTCTGTAATACTGTAGGAATAATATTAATTTATATGTATAGTTATGTTAGTGTAACACAACTCATTAGATATATTTATTATAATTTAAATTATGCAAATTATATTCAAATGTCTGCTCAATTACCATTTCAAAATTAAAATTCGTCTTAGATGAGCGAAATCATGTAGCTTCTCATACTCTTCTTTGAGTCCCAATAACCATTTTGTTTGTTCAGCAGTTTGTTAATGATCTCATTTAGTTTTATTTGTTTTTATGTGATTGTATTGTATCTGTTAAGAACGTCAAGACTCCTTCGGTCAACTTGACTATCAGACTTCTCTCATAAAGCCTTCTAAACCACGAAATTTCAATTTCAAAGATTTTTTTATTCAAAAATAGCAATAAAATATAAACAAACAAAGAGAATTAGCATATTCATCTACGTGATGCACGTGAGAATGACGTGTAACACGTGGAAGCTACATCTTAAACAACATTTGAGTTCATTTCACATGACGCAGGCGAGTGGTACGGTTGTGCTTTTCACTATAACAAGGAATTTCGAAGAAATGTTTATCACGTAGTGATTACAAACGGTACATTTGAATGAAAAATCAAAAAGGATTGTGTGAAGAGAGAGAGAGAAAGAGTGTGTGATAGAGAGTGAATGAGAGAAAGAGAGATAGAAAGAGAGAAAGAGAGAGAGAGTGCTTGCAAAAGAGGCAAAAGCTTAAGCGAAACCTTTTTTGATTCTTCATATGATCGCCGCTGATGTTGAGAGGGACACGTAAGGAACCAAAAAACAAAAATATTTTTGAAATGAAAAGCTACAAATGTTAATTTATATTAACTATATGTTGTATTATCTTTATAAATATAATAATAAATAATGAAATATTATAATGATAAAGTGAAATAACTCGTTTGACATTCAGTTATCAAACAGATCTTCAACCATCGATTTACATATAAGGATTGATTTGCTTATTTACAAATATTATTTGTTGGGCTGGGGAGGGCGAGGGGACTTCTTGTGTTGGAGATTATCGTCTCGTATTAATGATCGGTTGAGCTTAGAACTCAATTGTGTCTACTTCTACTGCATCACCTCCCATGGATGCAAAGTCCAATGATTCTAAGGTTTCACTTGCTGAAAACACTCACTGATCATCTCTCGGTACTTCAGTCAGTTCAATACCTCGTCTAAAGCGTCGAGCATCTTGAGCATCTCCTGTCTTCTGGAGCATGTACACTGGACGGTATTGACAGTGACGAGTGATAACAAATGATCCAAGTGAATCTAATTGTTCCTCATTCAACTGCTCTCCAACTCGGAATGTTTCACGTACAACACGAGAAACTGATGAAGGATTGGATGATGACTAGAAGAGAACACTCGTTGTGTTTGCTTTATAGTATTGTTTAGGTTTACCTCCATTCCTCGAAGCATTTCAATGATGTTCCGAGGAGCAGCAACAGTAGATCTATCAAGTTGTTTTACGAAGCAGCGCTTTCCCATTACGTCAACGATGGCGGTCAAGTTCTATACAGCGCGTAAGGAAGTTAAAGACAATTCGCAAAGCTCACTTGTTTGAAGTCGTGAAGGAATACGGCAGGTCTGTTTGATCCGAAACGAGGAACATCAATTTTTTCGTACGCCTGCAAAGATTCAGATGAGGAGGTGAGCTGGTATGTTATATTACCTGATCTTGATTAACTTCAACATTCTGTTCAAGTTTTTCTGGAACTCCTCTATTGTTGTAGACGGCAGCGTTCCATCCATGGTAGATTCCCTTCTTGTAGGCAGCACTATGTTAGGAAGGAATGATGAGCAGTGGAAATGAACGGTTTACTTTATTAAAGATTTCTGATAGAAGAAGAAGCCAGTACCCATTCCAACTCCCATGAGGATACAGAGAAGAAGCATAACCTTTGTGCATTTACGGAATCTGAAAGTAGTTATGAGAATATGTTCAATGCTCTCTCGTATTACCTTCTCTCAGGATCGACACTGTCATAGTCGGGTGGAGATGGAGATGGAGTACGAGCTAAGGGAGATGGAGAGAGTCGAATGATGGAGAGTGGTCCAAACGATGAAGATCTTTTCTCTTTTGGTCTTAAAAACGGAAGATAAACGCCTCGAAAAGCTAAAGGGGCACCTATCGAAATTTCCTCCTTCCATAGGCACCCATCCACAGTTACTGATGTGTCTCTCATCAGGTGGAGAGTTCGGAGATAAGCTTCCGGAAACAACAACTTTAGGAACCTGCAAGAAGATGTATATAGTATAAGAGAAATGAAGAAGCTTGAACTAAAAGTAAAAAAAATGAAAATAAACTAATACTTTTAGAGGATTAAGGTCTGTTACCTCTTTGTCAGAAGTGTTCTTCTCCTCGGTTGCGTCTTTCTTTGTGAAAACCGTCATCTGAATATACTTGTTTAGAAGGAGAGTTTTGAAGTACAAGCAAGGTCAACAGAAAGCAAAAAAGCTAAAATCAAACGGAAAAAAAGGAAAATTGGAAAGTATTTGTGAGAGAAAGGATAAGAAGACAAAGAGATTGCAAGGGAGGGAGAGAGAGAGAGAGAGATATGAGGTGATAGAGAGAGAGAGAGAGAGAGAGATGAGATGAGATTTCTGTATTTTTTGATTCTAAAAATAATTAATATTGTAGAAATAAAAAAGAGAATAATAATAATGAATGTCCAGTGTAATAATCCAAATATAGCCGTTGGCTAGTTGGTTTGAGGTCGTTTATTCAGTTTTGTTTGTTTAGGAGAGTTATGGAAACGTTTTATACTCAATGGTTCTAGAATAGTACTTGTCTTGTTCTTCACTTTAAGAAAACTAAAAAATGAATTTGAAAACGTATATAGCCGGAGGCAATCGTTGAATGATAACTATATGTGAGGAAAAGTACAGTCAAAAGATTTTGGTTGTTTGCTTTTGTAACAAAAGGAGGAAAAGCCTGAGTAGTAGTAGTAGTCATAGAGAGAGATAGAGAGAGAAATCTTCACATACTACATGAGAGAGAGATGAATATGTTAAAAACATTTTTAAAACTAAGAAAATCATATTTTGGAAGGAAAGAAGGAGTGAAGTGGAAGGAAGAGCCACATTAACTGAGGTAGTAATGATTTCGAATGAGAATAGGAGGGGGGGGGGAATTAAGCGCTTTCCTAGTTTGTCGTCATCTCATCTCATTTTTCCAACTGGTCGTTTACCTTATACTCCTCCCCTCTTTTTCTTCTTATCTCTCACTCATAAAGTTAGTTATATGAACGAATCTTTTCATCTACTTATACTTGATCCTTTCACTCTCTCACTCACTCTCTATATCTCCTCTCTCAACTGTTTGTTTACAAAATACACGTAAGAGAAAGTCAATGTGAAGGACAATAGTTCAAATGACGAGAGTAAAAAGATTTGACCGAGCGAGAAAAGTAAAGAGATGACCAAAAGGACGAAGATGGAAAGACGAAACAAACGGGAGGTGTGGGGAGAGAGAGAGTGTGAGTGAAACATAGATGAAGCTTCTTTTCTCTTCAACTTTCATCACCATTTGTCATATAGTTGACATTCTGCTTTCGGACGTCAATATCTTTCATCTTATTACCTTTAAAGCTGTTTGACCATTTACGCCTTTCCATCTCTCTCTCCCTATCTCTCTCTGTTCATCTCTCTTGCTACCTCTTTACCTCTATACCTCTTCATCCTTTTTTTCGTCGAAGAATCTTTTTTTCTTTCTCTACAGCTCACAAATCATTTAATCTGCTTCTTCTTCTTCCTCTTTCGGAATAGACGAAGATTACTTTGCAATAGCAAACATTCAGTTGACAGGTATTTATTTTCCTTATTAAGTCAATTTCAAATTGAGATAAAGGAGGGTCAGTAGCTGTACTAGTAGTAACAGTAGTAGTAATGGTGGTAAAGGTAGTTGGATGAGGAATTAGGTATTCACACAAGATAATATTCAATGAAAGTAATTCAATACATGTATTTGAGGAGAAATGACCGATTGGGATACCTTTTACGAATGAAAATATTTTGAAAAAGGACTTCTATTGAATGAAGGTCAGAAGAAGGAGGGAAAGAGGAGATGGATAGAGAGAGAGAGAGAGAGATGGAGGGGAAAGAAACAACAACTTGATATGATTTTTAATTTTCAATTCAAAAGTGTTTTTTCGAACAGTGCAAGAGCTTAAACACACACGAACAAATACTTTTAGTCAGAAGGACGTGTTGACAAAGTGACCAATGAATGTTTTAAGTAAATAAAAAAAAACATTTTCTTCTAAAAACACATTAATAGTATAATGAAATGGATTCTGTTAATGAACAGAGAGGATAGGGAGGGAGAGGGAGTGTAGGAGGTAATGCAAAGGAGAGAAAGAAAGAGAGAGAGAGGGAATGCTTTGTAGAAGTCGGTTGGAGGGAAGGTGGAGGAGAAGCATTTGCAAAGCTTTATCTAATGAGCCTGCTTTTTATATAATAATATTTATATTGAAAGGGCAAAATGATAGAGAGAGAAAGAGAGAGAAGAGAGATTTCCAGAAAAATGAACAAAAAGGAGATGAGGTGAAGCACAAGCAACATTCAGCTTAGTATGGTCGAAAGACTTTTCTGTGTTTTGCTTTTCATCTCTAATCTCTCTTCATACTATCTGTTGTTTCGTCAAAATCTCTCCCTAGTTTCATAGTATTTAGTTTTCTCTTTTTGACCGCTCAATGCTTTTCCATCAGGTCACGACTTCAAACAGAATTTTTGTGGAAGAGACGAAGAAGCGAAAATAAAAAGAAAATAATAGTTCATCTTTCAATTCTCCACTTTATTACCCATTTATGGATTTGTTGCTCTCTCATTCATTTCTCCATTCAGCTCAATCTCTCTACACCTTCTCTACTACTACTTCGCTCTGAATTTTATTTTAAATACATTGTTTTCATCTATAACCATATTAGTCTTTAGCCGTTTGACGTTCATCCTCACTCCCATATTACAGTCTAATTTCTATTTTTGTTTCATGTCTTTCATTTGCAGCTCGCCATATCACGTCAATTCAAACCTAAATTAGCATTTTAGCTTTCACGTGAACTTCACGTGAACATCAAATGTACATTACTTTGCTGTGTAGGCTCACTGAACGGTTGATTGCAAATGAAAGCTGGCTGACTCAGTACAAGCAATGAGTGCTGTCATTGTCTTTTCTTTGAAATTGAATCAGTTGATGTAAAATTAAATAGTTTATTTACATTGTACATACAGTATTGAATAAATAATTATAATTTACTATCTGCTACAGCGGTCATATAAGGAGAACAGTTCCCACTGTTCTTAACTGTTCTAATGAATGGACATGTCTTAAATGGATTTGTTTGCTTTTCATACATGTGCCTTCGTGACTTACCGGATCTGGGCATGCCAATGGCAAGGCAGCGTTATTCATATCACCTATTGTTGTTTTATAATTGACTGGCTCCAAGATATTCTTCCACAACCAAGTAGTAACTATTCCATGCCCATATTGAGAGAAATGGAAACAATCAGGTGCAAAGAATATTTGACTGGAGGGAGGGGCAGTCATATCTCGGAAGAATGGTTGAACAACAACTGTGAAGTCATTCGTATCATATTTTCCTGAGTTTTGAATTTTAATCTCATCGTTTGTATAATTGATTCCATAAGTTCCCAATTGGTCATTGGTGACTGTCTTGTTCAACTCACATCCACATTCATCTCTGAATATGATCTGAGTAGTATGAAATACACAGTTAAGCTTACTTATGTAAACGCTCACAGAAGAAATGACCATGATCTGTTTGACGGAGAATTTGAAGTTGAAGCATTCCAGTAATAGAAACGATCACACGGGGAACACTCTCAAATACAATTCTGATGGCTTCTTCGATGTTATCCGCACAGTTCTGAGGAGCATATTCCTGAAAGTAATAGATTGATTGAGAGTTGATCAGTGACAGCTTTACAGGGTGTCTACAGTAACCACATGCATCATTTCCACCGATAAAGATGTTGAGTAACTTCCAATCATTCTTGAGATCTACTTCCTAACCGTTTCATTGTACTAAATCTAGTATGGGGATAGAAACCTGGGTGTGTTGTTTCAATAAGGAGACGAGACTACGAGCTTGGGATGGAAGATCTTTAGCTTCTGCACCAGGAACAGCTACATTCAAACGAGCAATTTCCCAAACATTTGGAGAACCGATTCCATTCGAATATCCAAAGAGGTTAGGATTGTATTTCTTCAAGATATCTGACAAAACAAAAAATAGTTTTCGTTGTAGTATGATTGTCTATACTTGGGATTGTAGCATGCTCAGTGAGAGTATAATCACCACCGGCCTGGAACGCTAAACCTCTATATTGGAGAATAACAGCGACAGGGTCCTCAGCACCAGCCCCATTGGCAGCCTTTTTTTATTGATTTTTATAATTGTTTATATATGTTATTTGTTACTGTTATAGAGTCTCCCAAAGCCATAACGACCTTGATGTCAGCAGGTCGAACTGAGTTCACGTTCGTTGGAACTTTCTTACTGGGCTTCATAACATCATCACTGCAGGAATAGTTTGGAACCCCAAAGTTTGCTAATTTTCCATAGCTCAAGCTTAACAGAAGCTTTGTTTTCAGCAATCAGACAAGGCTCACTTACCAAATACTTGAGAAAGATATGAACAGAAGGAGATGAACTAAAACAAAATGGTTTTCCTCCAAAATAATGGAAAGGCAAACAAACCAGAGAATGACATGTTGTTCCACGTGTTGGATAGTCTTATCAAACAAGTTGCTTCATTAATATATGCCGAATCTCTTATCTTGGTGATCAAATAGCATTTTTAATAATTGTTTGAAATTTAATATCTAATTAGGGAGAAGGTACCACGTGACTGAGCTTGCCGTTGGATGCAAAAACCGAAGTGATATCATTTCTCAGAGGACCCATGTGGTTATAAAAAGGTTAGTCGTCTTGATTGCGATTGTGTTTATGAGTAGGATTAGCTGATTCCCTTTCTTGTACAGTAGTCTATCACAATTCTTATCTCTTGCAACAATTCTGCATGTTCGTTCTACTTTGAATTTTACAATAATAAGTTGTCAACGAATAGTATCTCGCTCCCTTAGTTGAGAACTTCTAGTTGAACGAGAAGAAATCTGAGGGATGTGATCTCTTTGACCAAGGCTGAAGGAGGGTGGAGGGGGGTAAGATGTAGAAGGTTCTTTTTCTGAACTACTTTTTATGGAAAAAATCACAATTTTGAGGAGCCACGAGCAGCTTCTCTTTGTCATTGTTTCTTTTTCTACCTCTGACTTGCTTCGGTCATTACATTTCGTTCAACAAGACTTTGAAAATATAAAAAAAGGCGATTTTATGAAGAAGTGAAGAGATTTGAACTGTTGTGTCGACTAAAGATGGTAGTTTACAATACAAGAAGACGATGATGAAGACGACGACAACTTCGAAAAGACGATGAAAGCTCTTGACTATTCGTGTTGCCTCTCTTGAGAACTAACCGACGGACAAACATCTGATCCTCACAGCTCCACTTGTATAGCCACGACCTTAGATATCGTCTGTTACGCTGAGCTTTAAATGGCCATGGTCATTTCAAGTACTTTCCTTATTTGGAGTTTGAAATGTTCATCAAGTTCTGCAGAACAGTTGCATTGCACCACTTTCAGTCACTGTTATCTTCCTATCATACTCTCTCTTTCTCTCGTTTGTCATCTATACAATCTGTTAAACTTTATCGAACATCCATGTTTTGTTAATAACAAGAACTAATCAACATTTGAAGTCACGTGAATTCATATGTTACGTAGTTTGACAGATCTATCTGCAGTTTATGGACACTACACAGTGGTTGCAATAAAACTCCGTTGCAGATAATGGAAGGTGTTAATGACGTTCAGTTTAGTGATAATTGAGAATGGATGAAGAGGTGGTTGATGTGATAGGAAGAGAGAGAGAGAGAGAGAGGGTAAGAGAGAGTTTCCCAATTTTTGTTTCAAAGAGATCTTTATTAAGAAGAAATGCTAATTCATTTCGCTGTTGTTTTGATCGCAACGGTTTTTACTTGAATGTCTTCTTCTTCTTCTTTTCTCTCATTTCTCATTATTTCATTTGATGTCTTAGACTTGAGTCATCGTTTAGGAAGCAAAAGATGAAAAGAAACAAATTATAGTCAAGCGTTCATTCAATGAAATATAAGAGATATAGAGATTGAGAGAAATTGCTAAGAAAAGAGCAAGGTGAGTTAAAGAGAATTCGGTGAGGCGGAGTCGGCTCGTGACCGCTTGACAGCCTTCTTGGGCTACTCTCTCCCCCCTAACGATGATCCGACACACTTCAAGCTCATTCTTCCCTCTTCCATGACACAACTTTTCAAATATGCTCTTCTTCATTCACATGTTTCGTTTACAGTAACATGTGCCGTAAAAAAGAGAGATAAGCTTCTTCTCTTTCATTTGCATCTATTCAAATGTTGTTCTCTTGAGTCATCTCCCTCCCCTTCATCTATTTCTTCTTCGATACAACAATGAACTGTTTTTCAATCTTGAACCTTTCCTCATCTGGTTTTGCTTCTTCTTCTGTTTTTCTTTTAGTTTATTCAAAACTTGATCTGCTCAAAGCAAATGCTTTAGATCTCCTAACTACACGTTGGTTGGCTGCAGGAGACAGCTTGTTGATATCCAACATACCTTTCTGACCCTTGTAACGAAAAAATATTTTTCGCTTCCTGTTTTCATAGTCGTCTTCATTTCAAAACTAATATTGTTTGAGTTTATTTGACTTCTTGATGTCCTCATTCCATGAGTCCATCTGACTAAGTCCTACTTGACAGTGAAATCTTTTTCTTGACGGTTCTTCTTATTGTCCTTAACCGTATGGATGTCAAAAGCCACAACCATTCGAAGAGTATTCATGTCGTTGTCAACGTTTGAAAAGACAACACACATACCCAAATATACACACACTGAGAAAGAGAGAGAGTGAAACTGTTCTCTCTCTCTCTCAGTGTTCCCTTCTCTTCCTTTCTCTCTCCCTCTCTGTGGCGTCATCGTCATCTTCAGATGATTATGAAAGCGATGAAGAGGAGAGGAGGAGGAAGATTTTTGATTTTTTTTTTCTTTTAATCACGTAAAAAACCTCATTTGGTATTGACCTCACGCGTCTACTCAGAAGCCGATTAATCGTTCACAACTTTTATCGTTTTTCATCGAACCGATGTGTGAATTTGAGTTTAAGAAGTTGACCCATTCGGATGACTTCTAATCTCCGCCGATGCTTTGGTCATTCAGCTTCTCCGTTCATCCACTTCTTTTCTAAATTTTTAAAGTTAAAAGTCTGTTTGAATAACATGTTTAATATTATATCAATTTCTAGTGAGGTGAATGAAGGAAATGGATGGGTGTAACCAAATGTAATCGAAGATGATCTTCCGTCCAGTTTACCTCTTTTACCCATCTCTTTCTCTATTTCTCCTTGTTTAGCTTTAACTCTCTTCATTTATTCATTTCTCTCCATCTTCATCCCTTCTTCAACTCTGATCCAATCCATCTTTTCTTGTCCAAGTAAGGGAGCGGGACTGTCGGTCACTAAGCACAGATAGGTAAAGGAATCCCTGAGAGAGGGTGAGGTGAAGAAGCAGCTTGTGTGACTGAGGCTTTATTTGATCAGAGACTAGCCAACAGATGCCGACTAGGCCAAAAGCTTAAGTCTTTCCTCATCACCTCCAATTAGTTGTGTCTCCAGCTGAATGGTCTCAGGTGATGCTCTCCTTGATCTCATAAGTTTTCAACCAAAGAAGAAACTTTCGTAACGCTTGTTTTCCATTTAACAAGGAATAAAGAGAGCTAGAGAGAGAGTCTTAAAAAGAGAAAGAGAATTGAAAGAGAGAGTCTTAAAGAGAGAAAGAGAGAGAGAGAGAGAGAGAGAGAACGTAATCTTACCTCACATTAAGCTTATTCGTTTATTATTTAGACTTTTCGATGATCACTTTGTTCATTGAATGGACACGTTCTTCGTTTTCATTCTATCTGTTCATTTGTTTTTTCTGTTTACTTTAAGACGTTTTTCTATGTACTTTTGATAGGTTAAACTGAAATTGGAGAATGTTAGAACTCCTTAAAAATCGTCTCCGTGATGAGATCAGTACTGTCTTTTCATAACAATCTATGCGGTTGGACAACAAAAAATTTACATTACAAGGGAGAGTGAGGCCACGACGCACCTTCCCCTTTCCTTTGAGCTCCTTTTACAGAACAAATTTTTTCACACTTTTCATATGATTTTTGGGTGTTTATTTACATATTGTGCGCTTGTTCTTTGCTTCAACTTCACCTCTTACTCATGTTCTACTTCATCCATTTTCTTTTGTTTTTTATTTTATCTTAACAACAACTCTTTAAAAATACTTAGGGAGAGAGATATTTCCCGCGCAAACCTTTCTTGAAACATCACTCTCCTCCTCTTCCTCCCTCCCTCTCTCCCTCCCTCTCTTCTTTCCCTCCTCCCATCTCCTCAATACAGTTCTTTGCTCTTTTCTCAAAAAATCATTTTTTGAACTATTTTCGTTCCTCTTTCTCTTACACATCACGTCATAATCTGCTCTTCCTTTTATCTTTCGTAAAGTTTCAACTGGATTTGAAGAGAAGTAGCTTTCGTACAAGAGCTTAGCCAGCTGGTCTTCAGATGTATCACTTCGCCTCTGCTTTCGTCTTTTCTAAAACATTTCATTGTTTTGTCGTTGACCTTATTTGTGAAAAAGCTAGTTCTGTTGCAAGTTACAGCTTAAGATCGGTGACGAACATTCTCGTTGTAAGTGAGAAATCATAGATGGCCATTCTATTCTGAAGTCAATTCAAGACAGGTCTTTCATATTCTGTGCCCACACAACACAAACAATCTGCGCATGTACTTTCCATATGTGGAAGTTTTCTTGGTCATTTTCTTCATTCTCATCATAGCCTTGGTCGTTTCTCTCCATTTTTGAAAAACATTTTGTATTCTCACATCATCATCGTCATCAATTACATTCCAGAAAGCTGCAATAAGCTGTTGCTTAGTAAGCACAGTTGTGACCTGGAGAAGCATCATCAGAGACTTTTGTAAAAGTTGAACAGAAAAGGATCCAAAGAAGGAGAAAGATCAGAAACATCTCCATAATGCGGGTTTTACTCGCTTTTTCCATTTTTTCTTTAACATTAGGTAAGTCAGTTTGATTTGATTCCTTTTTGACACGAAAGTAAAACGAGAGCAAGTGAGAATAGGCTCAAGTAGAAGCACAGAGTGTTTATTCAAGCTCTCAAAGCAATCAAAACTCTTCATATGCAAATTATATACTATATATGATCATTTTTTATAGCAGCAGACAAAGCTATTAACTTACCGTGTAATCGTGAATTAGATGGGTTATTGGCTGTTGATCCAGATGGAAACCCAACAGCTTTCCTTTCCTGTCAAGGTGTCGGAGTTGGGTTAGTGAGCTCTACTCTCAACCATAGTCTTATCACCTTATTCAGAAATATTGGATTCTGGGAAAGAAAGATGTGCCCAAATGATATGGTTTTCGATTTCATAAATCAGAGGTGCAAAGCTGCTCCAAGGAAAGTTCATCGTAAACCTCAGACTAACTTGAATATCGGTACGGAGATCTGATGGTTGAATGAGCATCTATCTAATATCATTGCAGCTATTTTGAACTCTTCCTGTGCTAAAGGTGAAACCTGTATTGGAGGAACAGTCTGCGACGCAGATAGAATGAGGTCAGTCAAGCTTCTTCTCAATCTCATCACAGTCATTTTCGTTTAAGATGTCTCTGCCCTTACGGAACTATTCCTCAATTGGAGACTTTGTCTTGTATCAAGAATGAAAATGCTTTCTCTCCTGATAGATTCAAGTTCTCATTTGAAAACACCGTAAGCTACTATTCTGAATTCACTTTATTCTACTGCCTTTATCTTATAGAACACTGGTACAGGTTTCTTGCCCAATCCTAACCAGCAGATTATTCCCCCAAGCAACAATGGACAAGCTAGCTTCATGCCAAATCCAAACTTCAACAAATTCAGCTCTAACAGTAATTCGTTTGCTTCAAGTAGCAATAGCAACTTCGGAAATGCTCCATGGACCAACAATGGACAGTCAGCTTCGTCATCTCCCAATACATTCGTGGACATGATGCCCAATCATAAGTTCGTTTTCGGAAATTTCGGAACGACTCAAGCACCAACAACGAAAGCTGTTCCGCGTTTAGGTAATTTCCTTCTTTGAACATTTGAAATATTTCCTCTTACTAACATGATTTGAAAAGAATCTTGCATGCTTAACGAGTTTTCCTTTCATTTTGCAAAAGAAAGTTTCCTCTTGTGAATGAGTTTCGGACATCAGATGCTGTCCAACAGTGTTGTTTGCTCAGATGATTGTAAGAGAAATATAAATAACAAGTGAACATGAAGAGTACTTAAGTGAGTTGAACTGTTCATGATTCAAATGAGGAAGTCAATGAGGAGGACGTTCCATCTCGTAATATTTGCCAAAAACGAACTTTGAAATCAAATAAGTTTTGAAAATGAAAATGGAACGTCTTGTTCACTCATACAGTTAGTGAAGCTTCTTCAGATCTTCTATCTTCTTGAGAAGGATCATCTCTGTGAAGATAAAAGAAGGATAAATACACGAACAACATTACGTTTGTTCTGTTTCTTCTGTTAAACTTCTGAATGACTTCTCATTCAGACGAACAAGCTATTTCTATAAAAAGCCGTTTGTACAATAATGACTAAATCAAATAAAACTAAAACGAAAAAAAATTAAAATCTGACCCATTGAATGGGTATGGAGGGGGCAACGAGGCTAACTTACAACTTACCGTAAAGCACAGCCGCACCCAACCGTTTGAATGAGAGAAATGAAAGACAAAAAAATTCTCACGCGTCTGACGTCATTTTCACGTAATTGACGTTTCCACGTTTTCACGTATATGATGGAAGTTGAGCATGTTTGACGATATTCATTATACTTTCTGTGTGCTTGTGCTAACTAACAGAGTTGTTTAATTCTTTTAATAATTTTCTGCTTCTATGCTTTCTCTCTATCGGCTTGCTTCTGTTTTCAGCTGAACCAGGTCAATCATGTCGATCAAATGAACTCTGTATAGGAGGATCTCTTTGCACGTTCCCAATTGGACTCTGTCTTTGCCCTGGAGACCTGGAAGCAAGGGATGGAGAATGTGTCTTGCCTGCTTCTTCTTCTATCAAAATACAAAAAGGTTTTAGTTGCTTGCTTGGCTATTGCTTGATTTCTTATGTTTCTTTCTGTTCTGGCTTCTCTTCTTCAGCAAATCAAACTTCTTCTCATCAACTTTATATATTATTAACTTTTTAAGTTGGAATCGGAGCTATCTGTAATGATCTGGCTGAATGTGATGATGGAAGTGTTTGCCAAATGGGTAGATGCGCTTGCGTTTCTCCTTTGGTTCAATTTGAAGGAAAATGTGTTCTCCGTCAGGAGCGTAAAGAAGTCGGTACGTGTTCTCTCTTGCATTATACAGTTCATGAACAAGTTAAGGACCTGGAGATCTCTGTGATAATGGAGAAATCTGTATCAAAGGCTCAGTTTGTGATAAAATCATTCCTGTTTGTGTTTGTCCAACTGAAACTGACTTGTTCGATGGCGAATGCGTTCGAGTTTTCAACTCAAAGCCTTCAGGCTATTTGCCTACAACTCATACTCCAACAAGTATGTTCTACCGGTTTTATGTTTCTTATGACACTCTTTTAGTTGCTCCACAAGCTTCTTATGTACCACCATCAACCACTCAGAGGCCTGTTCCTGTTCAAACGCCTTCGGTATCTTTTATTCTAAAAGTTTCTTGATTGAGCAAGTTTTAATACAGACCAAGACGATCCCACCTGTTTACACGTTCAACCAGAATATCGTTCAACAACCAACAACTTACAGTTATAAGGCAGTCACGAACCAACAAGTCACTTCAAAGCCAAATCATATGAAGATAGCACTTGGTATTGGAATGTTATGTGATGTGATTACAATCATAATTTAGGAGGAAGTAAACAAGCTGGAGTCGGAGTCAGATGCTCATTGAACACAGATTGCATGATTGGAGCTTACTGTAATGGAAACACCTCTCCTCCATCATGTCAATGTCTCTCAACCCATGTTAATGTAGAAGGAAGATGTGAAAAAGGTTTGAGCTTACATTCAGTTTTCACTAAAATTAGAAATCGCACAACGTTAATCAACTTAGAACTAGAAGTTTTAATTTTGGGAGCTTTGTTTCATATTTTGAGTTCCGAAAACGCACTTCCATACAAGCGGAAACTGTTTGAACACTTAATCAAACTCGATAACATAGTTGAAGCTGTGCTTAACTAGATAATTCACTTTAGATTTTTTTGTTTTTTACTCTTCCCTTTCTCTACAGTGATTTATCCCGGACAAATCGGATGTCGCAGCAGCTTACAATGTACTGCAGCTTATGCTGGCACAAGCTGTGTAGATCGTGTCTGTAGATGCCCTGAGGGAACCAAAACCGTAGATCAGACCTGCATTCCAGGTACTGACCAGTATCTTCTGCTTCATCTTTCTGTTTAACCAACAATGTTTTCTGCACGCTAATGCATGTCTATCGAGTGTTTTCGTTCTTCCTTAACATGTTCTAATCCATTTTTGACATTTTAATTCCTTTCAGAACCTGATGAGTGTTTTCCAACTTGTCAACATCCCCTTATTTGTTCCCATTCAACCTGTATTTGTCCTGATGGTACTAACTGTTCTACAGAACTAATCACTTTCGGCCATCTCGTCTTATCCGATGATGATAACCTCCATAAGATTCCAAATATCATTCAAACTATAAAAATTCGTCAACGTCGTCAGACAAGCAAAATGGAATGTTTACCGGGTTCAGAAAGCTGTAGTGATGGTCATGGCATCTGTATTAAAGAAAAATGTCATTGCTTGAACGGTTTGGTGGCTAGGGATGGGTATTGTCGTCCTCTAATGCTGCCGGTTAACTCATCTTGTGACTCGGAGAATCTATCAGCAGTGTGTGAAGATGGGGCTATTTGTGTTGATGGCTTTTGCCATTGTCAGTATCCAGGGGGATGTGATAACTCTAATGTGGTCATGTGTGAGAACCATTCTCAATGTCCACAAACGTTTGTATGTGTTGTGGGGAGATGTGTCTGTAACAGGAACTACGAATTGAAGGTGAGTTCTCAAACATGTTTGCGGCTCTAAGCTTTTCTTTTAGAACGGTCAGTGTCAACTCAGAGAACCAATCGCAAACTCAGTTTACAAAAGCATCAACAGCTCTTGCAATGAACGCATCGATCGGTGTTCAGGTGGCTCTATCTGCCTCAATGGAGCTTGCCAATGTGTAAACGGAGCAACTGAGAACTCTGGACGGTGAGATTTTATTTGTGAACTCAGCTTAACATCTAATTCAGCTGTCATCAAGTACCACAAGGTAGATGTGTTCATGGCGAGTTATGTATCAATGGCTCCATTTGCGAACTTGGACGTTGTAAATGTCAGGATGGGCTCACGATTTCAGCAAGAAACCCAACAGTCTGCGTAGTAATTTCATCAGAGCCTGGAAAATCGTGCCATTTCGGTGAAAGATGCATCAATGGTAGTGTTTGTCGTTTTGGGACTTGTATGTGCGAATCGAAACGAGTCAATGTTCATGGCCGTTGTGTGAAGAAAGACTCGCTTCCTGGAAAGTCCAAGAAACAGAAAGCAGGATCTATGTCTACGTCTATTCCTCCTTCAAATGAGTCTTCTACTTCTGCTTTGACTACGGAATCCTCCAACGAGCCAATACCAGCATCCGAACCAGGAACTATCCGCAATCCAGGGGAGAAATGTTCATTGTTAGATATTTGCAATGGAGGTTCATTGTGTCAGGATCACATGTGCAAATGTCAAGAACATGACATAATCATTGACAATCAATGTGTCGGAAGCCAAGCAGAAGCTGTGAAACTCACAAAAGAAAAGTCCATCTCTGCCCCTGGTCAAGCTTGCGATATTCGAACAACCTGTACAGGTGGCTCAGTCTGCATTGAGAACTTATGTCGTTGTGAGACAGGGCTGGTCAACTCACAAGGGGATTGTCAAACTGTTTCTGATTCAGATGTGTCTACGTCTACATCTGAATCTCCAAACGCTTTTGTTCTGCATTACCCTACAGGACAAAAAGCAAAGAAGGAATCAAAGGAGGACCGATACCCAGGAATGGAATGTGTTCTTACAATGCAATGCCCATTCCGAACAGAGTGTCAGCAAGGCGTTTGTAGATGCAAGCAAGGTGAAACAATCGTCGACGGAACTTGTCGCCAGTCAATTCACCAGGTTCGAGTTGGTGGTGCTTGCAATCCCCAGAAAGGGTATGATTGCGTTGGAGAATCCTTTTGTATCTCTGGAGCATGCATATGTCAGTATGGAATGCGGCCTCTGGATGGATTATGTGTACCTGTCTCTCAGCTGAATCAAGTACTACCGACTAAGAAATGCGGTCCAGATAGTTTTTGCCTGGGTGGATCCAGATGCATTGAGAACGTTTGTAGATGTGAGAAGGATTACGTCCCCGATGTGAATGATAAATGTGTGAAGAAGTCTTCCGTTTATCCTATACTGAAAGTCACCACTCCTAAGCCGACTACAACTACGACTATGATGACAACCACTGGGCTACCTAATATAGGAGAACCATGTAGTTATTACTGCGCAGATGGTTTGTGCCGTGATGGAGTATGTGTAGATGTTGTGACCGAGATGGAAAAAGTAGAAATGGAACTAAAACAGAATCCCGCTAAAAGTGCTGTGGCTGATGAAGTGATGAACTCAAAGTCTTCTACTGATGAGCTCATGATTGTTGGTACTCATTGCTATCGTGATACAGATTGTCCTCAAGCATCTCGCTGCCTGCAAGAAATTTGCTACTGTAATGCCGGATATAGAGCAACTGCGGGTTATTGTGAATCAATTGTTCCTCTTGGGTCTCCCTGTGTCTCAACTAATCAGTGCCCTATCCATTCTGTTTGCGTCCAAGGCACATGTCAATGCGCTGCCAGCCTCAGAGATGGAAAAGCTTGTAAACCTCCTAGGTTGGGAAGACCAGGAGATTCTTGCCTCGACGGAGTGATTTGTAGCTATAATAGTTATTGTGGGCTCATGAGCAGTGTTTGCGAGTGTCCATCCGGCATGTCAACTCAACAGGGAGAGTGTCGCCAAACTGCGGCTGCTACTGGCCAATCTTGTGTTACATCTAGAAACTGTCATAGGTTTAGCTATTGCGATAATGGTTTTTGTCTTTGCAAAAGCGGGTTCGAACTTGTTAATGATTTCTGCATGCCACCAGCTAAGAGACTCTCGTTGAATGAAGTTGAAGAGTTGATGCACAACGGCCTGGAGAAGGAACGAAACGATGGACCACAGGCTCCTATGCAAGAACGAATCCGCACTGAAACGTTCTTACGTTCTATGATGAATAATCAAGAAAACTTTCTAAGCCCCATGGACCCACCAACTCCTCCCATGATAGCTCAGAGGGGGCGAAGCTCTCTTCCAGTACTCCCTCCCATGACAGCAATGAATCCTTCGGCCTTACCCACAATGACTTTGTCTACAGGTTCTCCGATTGCTCCCACAATGCGCTTCAACGGTATAAACTCTGCAGTAAATCCTGCTATGTCCGGTTTTGGATCCATGCCTTCATCCTCGATAGCTGCTGCTAATATTTCTCCGCAACCCAATTTTCTGAATCCGAATTCGAGGTTCAATTCTCCTAGTTCCGTTATCAACTCTGCAAGCAGAAACACCATCTCTCAACCCGAGATTCCTCAAGTTAGCACAGGTCCTCTACCTATTGATTTAACGAAGCCTCCATTCAACTATGCCATGCCTCCGAATTATCAAGTCATATACCCTTCGGGCAGTCCTAGTTCTTTTCAAAACCCTTTGATTCAAAATGACTTCAGTACCTCAGCTGCTTTAGGGGACTATTTCCGTAATAGATTTGCAAGTTTCCCTATAGTTAGTGGAGCCTCTACTGTTTCGGGGGACTCCCGGACATTTGATTTGAATGTGAACACAACAAACACAGGGGGTAGTACACTTCCTCAGAAGTTGCGTTTTGCTATGCCCGGAGAATACTGTGGAGATAAAGTAATTTGCTTGGGGAACAGTTTCTGTACGAACGACTTCTGTCGGTGTCCAGAACACTGCTCTGCTCAGAATGGAATTTGTGCTTATAAGATTCAAGCTGCTGTTCAACCTCACAAAGACGCTTTGCAACTTTCTGGTTATGATGAAGATGATGAGGATAGACGATATCTCAACTCGTCTGAAGAGCGACAGTTTGCCCAACCGTTAGAGAACTGCCAGAATTTCGAGTTTTGCGTAGGAGGATCAGAATGTCTTCCAATAGCTGCCAAGCTTGGTTTGATGTGTCAATGCCCGGTAGGAACAATTTTCTTCCAAGATGAGTGTATAGAAGCTCCTAAAGGCATAGGATTGATTGGAATAGGAGATAGCTGCGGGAAGAACGAAATCTGTCTTGGAGGGTCCGTATGCACAGAAGAAAAATGTATTTGTCGTGGAGGTAGAAAAGATGTGCTGGGGATTTGTGTTTTCACTGGTCATCCTGGAGATGATTGCTCGCAAGGACAGCTTTGTGTTGATGGAAGTGTTTGCGCCGGGCAGAAGCGTACATGCATCTGTCCCCCTGGTAAACGAAGTTTGCTGGGAAAATGTGTTAAGCAAGATAGTCCCGAAGATGGATTTGCTTCAAATCCTTCGACTAACGAAGAAGACACTCAAGAGAAAAGGACTGATCGCAGGAAGTTCTCATCTGTATATCCAGGAGAGAACTGCAATGGATCACTAAGTATCTGCATGGATAACTCGAGATGTTCTCAAAATCATATATGCGAATGCTTACCTCGTTTCTTCAATGTTGATGGACGATGTGTTCCTATTGATATGGTTCGAAAGCCGTCTGAATCTTGTACTGTGACAACCATTTGTGTCACTGGAGCTAGATGTATCGAAGATGTTTGTACCTGCGCTGATGGGCTCATCGGACTTGACGATAGATGTATACCAGTTTCAAACAATATCAGGAGACATCCCTCCAGAAATTCAATAGGTCCCGGACCAACTTGTGAGCACGATGAAGACTGCCCTTTACATTTCATCTGCAATGAGAAGCTTTGCATTTGTCATGGCTCCAGTTCTGAATGCTTATCAATGTCGTTATTGAGCGTTGATGCACAATGCTTCGAAGACATCAACTGTCCATTAAACTCAAAATGTAATGAAGGCATTTGCATCTGTGTTGATGGATATCGCATGGAAACTGATAGGTGTGTTGAGAGACGTCGCTTAGGAACATCAGCTTCACCTCTGCTCCAAAACCTGCCCATGTTCGCATCAACCTCTCCCGGTTTTTCCACAACGACTGTTGCCTCATCAACCAAACCATTTTCTGCGGAAAACCTTGTGTTAAATCGTATTGCATCAGTTTCGGTACCAGCTCTTCCCCCTGATCCAGCCATGGCTTCCAGGCTCTTATCATCTTTTCTAAATGTTTTGAGTCAGGCATCAGATTCCATGAGGTTTTCTGATTCTTTCCCACCGACAGCAAGCCCTAAGACAGATCTGGAATCAAATGATATTACCAACACTATTTCTTCTATTCCTGGACAACCATGTGGGCTTCCAAATTTGATTTGCTCTGACAACAGCATTTGTTTCAACGACTACTGCATATGTAGTTATGACTATCTGCCAATTAATGACAAATGTGAACCACGAGATGGAAAGGTTACATTCGGTTTGGCTTGTTCTGAAACACATCGTTGTTCCGAAAAGTTTATTTGTTTGAATGATGTTTGTTCTTGTCCTCCCAATGATTCTACCTGTAATCGTAAGTTAACAGATTTACCTTTCATTAATATGTTCTGTCCTACCCTGTTTGTGAAAATATTCTTCGATCTGAACATTTTCCATATTCAATTGTTTATTTCGTTTAGCTAACGAGCCAGTTACTTCACCACCAGGAGGTTCTTGCACTGATGCCCGAGAATGTACAGGAGGAAGTGTTTGTCGTGAAGGATGGTGTATCTGCCCAGATCCATCAATGATTGTGCAAAAAGGAATTTGTATTCAATCTGGTCTTCGTCCAACTGTTCCACCCAAGGTATGTTGATATCTTAAAACAAAGCGTGTATCTCAACTTAATAATCAATACAACCGAATCATACGCATGAAAGTTGAAAATGAAAAGACGCGTGGAGCTCTCACGTATCTCCATGTTAATCAATTTCTTTGGAATTTAAACGAAACTCATTAAGACTGTACCTGTTTACACAACTAGTCAACCAACTGCTCCTGTTTACCAAACTCAACCATCATCCGCTGCTCCTACTTCCAGACCACCCCCTCCGGTAGAGAAAGGATAGCTAACCTCTTACCATTCTGAATTACAGGTTAACACCTTCAATGCTCTACCAACAAGCACACATCAAGGACGTAAGGTTCCTCCAGGATCTCAATGCGGTATATCTACTCGTACAGATCTGTGTAGTTAAATATTCTCTAGGTCCTCTTGACTCTTGCGTTGGAGGATCCATGTGTATCGATAGCCAATGCGTATGCCCACCTGGAACACAAGGATCTCAAAATGGCCGATGTGAACTGGCCACCACGACTGTTCCAACTACTCGAGGTAATTGAATATTTTCAAGCTTTTCTCCATATCCTGATTGTGCACGCTTTACACTAATTATCAAGCTGAAAAGATAACGCTGCTCGTTCCTCAAAAGGAAAGTTGATTGTCTAAGTTGCATGATTTGTGAACTGCTGTTAACATTCAGAACAAGTCTGAATCGTTTACATTGAAGACCCTTTGTGAAGCCTAATCCGCCTTTTTAGCTACCACAGCTTCCACATGGAGAACAACCAGACGTCCTGTTGACTTCATTGAATTGCCCACGCATGCACCAAACATAGTTGATTACAATAATCAACGAATTAATAATAATATACCTGAATATACATCCTTATCATCTGGTTACAACGGCCACAACATTGAAAGAAACTATGGCCGTCCGTCAATTGTTTCCTCAGCTTCTCCATCAACACCTTACTTCACAACTAAATCGACAACGACTACTACAACAACGACGTCTACCACATCAACTACACCTACTCGACCGACAACACTAGCTCAGATATTCGGCAACAAGAATGAATGTGAGGCGATAGGACTTTACTGTAGGTACGCACAACGCTTGGGCTTACTCGTTTGAACAGCTTCCATCCAGCTTCTGCTTCGAAACGAATATGTGTGTATGCTTAACGAATGGTTTAATTCTGATATGTCTTAACTGAATGAACTTACAGTAATCTTAACAAAAACAGTTTGGCTAACGAGTTTGAAGTGACTTACAATACGTAGTATGTGGCAAGCTGTGAGAGAACCGTGTATGAAGTGAGAGTTTCCGATGTGGTTCGTGAGTGAGCAGGAGAGCCGTATGAGGAAGGAGTGTGGTATGCTAGTTGAACGAGAGAATTCTTCTCTTGACCATCGTGTATACATAGCATATTATGGTTTTGTTGGAAGCCGGATGGAGGGTGTTCATGCTGTTTTATTTTGCTTATGCTCAGCTTGATCACTCTGCATCTTTAGGGGCAACACAATCTGTATAAATAAGTCGTGTCAGTGTCCGGATGGTCACATTTTACATAACGACGGTTGTGTTCCACCGTCCGAAGCGGGAAAGCGTAAAGTCCGTGGGAAGGCTCGTCATCAAGGTTTGCGACTACCGTCCTTCTTCTCCACTTGGTCATCGTGAAATCAAAATGATTTCATTCTCTCTCTCTCTCTCTCTCTCTTTCAAATGCACAAGTCAACCATAGCACACATAGCACTCAATAGCACCAACGAGAAACCAAAAGAATATGAGAATTCTTTGATTGAAAGAAAAAGGATTTCCTAGCTTGCCATGTTAATTCATATAGTTATACTAATAATTACTTAATTATGTGCTGATTTCATTCAGTCTTTCTCCATTTTCTTTCTAATCAACACAAACATGCTTTGCTTGTTCAGTTCTACGGCTTACAGTAATCTCAATTCAGTGTTTCGCATGATGATTAGCATACTGTAGCACTGATGAAGCACTCATCCCAATTGTCATTCTATGTCTGTCATAACAAAATGAATATTTAATTAATAAATAAATTAATGTTGTATTGTCTGTGTGTTAATCTATGTAACAGCTTCCCGAATGCTTCAACACTTGCTTCATTACTTATGCTTATTTCAGAATATCCATAACTGTTATTATGATCTTATAAATCTTCTCTCTCTTACTAAATCTCATTTTCAGCTACCACAGTTGGAATTGTTTTATCCAAACCAGGAGAAGATTGTGCTGATGGACAAACATGTACTGGAGGATCAGTTTGCAATGATGAATGGGTAAATCAGATGTGGATATTGACTTCAGTTATCCTCTTCTTATAGGATTGTGCCTGCCCAGCCGATAAGCCTGTATTGGCTCATGGTGTTTGTGTGGCTAAAACTGAAACTCCCAAGAGACAAGCTGTACCTGGAGAGAGCTGTGATGAGAACACCGAGTGCATCAACAGTAGCAGGTAAGATTCATTGTTTATATTACTCGAATCAAAAGCTAACTCATCCTCAAACTACATCTGACATTCGTTTTGCAACCTCTGAGTCAAACACTGGATCTGACAAGAGAAGAGTTACTTGAAAGGTTAACTGATCACTTACAAGTTGGAGTTCTCTTCTTTGTGCTCTCTGCAAAGTTGAAATGTTATAAGCTCAATTGGTTCACCACAAACCTGCTTTACTGGGAGTCAGACACTTCATCTTGAAGTTTTCAAACTCGAGCAAGATTTTTTCATAGTTTCTATGAATATGATTAGATTATGTTGGTTGAGAACAATGGATAACCTTGAGCTGTTCATTTTCCTTTCCGACGTATCGATAATCGCTTGAGCTACGGACGAGAACATTGGACCTAAAGATACTAATCCTTCTAGGAATTCCACTAGAACTCATGTACGTATTGGCGTTCCTCCTACACATTCAATGATAGTTCTATAATGATAACTGTCAGTGTTATAAGAAGACCATGCCAACCTTTCCAAGCATTCAAATGGCTCGTACTCGGTTTTCTCCATTCGATCTTAAACTGCTAAGTCGTATGCAAATGAGAATGATAGTACCTTCATAAACCATCTCCCACTTCTTCAGAATTTCATTCATTCGGGAAACTTCTTCGAAGGCGTTCATTTTCATTTTCAAGATATCGTTCTGAACAATCTTCAAGATGCTTCGATCATAGAGATCCTACTTTATATTCAATGAAGTTCAATTCATTCTTCAGATGATCAAGAGCCAAGCTGAGTATCTGATGATATTCTTCAATTTTGATTGATAATAATGCCTGAAAGAAGAACTTAAAATCATTTTCTTAACCTTCTACTACTTTCAACATCTTTTCCTCGATAGCTCTCTCATGCATAGCTTTCAATGCAGAGCAATTGACCATTCCATTCAGCAATGTAGCTGATAAAGCTGTTTTCATCTTGATCAAATCTCCAATGATATAGGATTCGATTTCTATTTCGAAAGAATCTCTGAAGAAGGCATTTCCTTTTGTATTTTATAGTTTAGTAGACCTACCCTTCCATGATCAACCGCTTCCACCAAAGTTTGATCTAAAAATGAATTTTCATTTTCTAATATCACGACGCTAACGACTGGTTGTTTTCAGTTGTCATTCTGGACAATGTCGCTGTGCTCCTCAGTTTATCGCTCTTTCTGGTTTGTTTTGAACTTACAATAATATTAATTGATTGTTTCTATTTAGGTTTCTGCGTTCAAATGCCAATGTCCACAACTCCACAGATGAAAACGTTCTCGAAGCCTTTGGAAAGCTGTGAAAATGGGGAGACTTGTGAAGGAGGATCAAAGTATAAACGTTTTTTTATATCTTTTCTTCAGTCTTGACCATTTATAGATGTGATGATGATACTCTGATGTGTATGTGTCCAAAGGGACAAGTTGCATTCGGTCCTGAATGCAAAGTTCCACCTGGAGCTACTGTAAGCCAAGTAACAACCCAAGAAGCTGTAAGCAACCGTAAGTTCACCTCCATGTACAGTTTTGTACTCAATGATGTATAGCTTCTACTACTGAATGTGAAAATGATAACAATTGCGGAGATGGTAAGCTGTGCGTTGCTGGAAGATGTCGTTGTCGTCCAGGAACCGTTGATAATGCTGGTGTCTGTGAACTGTTAGAAGGTATTTCTTTGTAACAACTAAGATGAAAACCAAACACAGAGGTGTGATTCGTGAAATTAATTTTCAAAGTTTTCCCATGACAGAAATCGGAGTGAATGCTGTGTTCTCCATCCTTTTCATAAAAATTAAAAGAGAAAAAGATATTTTGAGATATATCGGTGCTAACTTATATAGATTTATCAAAAGCCAAGTAACAAAGCTTAATTTCATCATGTTGCTGTGATTATCCTACTAACAGAAAGCTTTACAGAAATTGAAATCGGCGAACGTCCGATCCCGATTTCCTACGCTAGACATCGGGTCTTAACTGAGAAACAGAAGCCTGCTTCGAGTCACGCAGAACACGAATCTTCTTACCAACAATCACCTGATGAGGATAGACAATCTTCCTCTTCGAGAGTAGATCCAGTAGAAGCTATAACACGCGCTCCATCACGAGCAGAAGGTCAAAAGCCCCGAGTTGTTGGTCCTCCAATCAGACGTCCAAAGCCCAAACCAAAAACATCTTCATCTGGTAGTAGTAGTGGCGGTACAGGCTCAGGCACAGCAAGTTATAAGACAGGAGGATCGGGTAACGGCAATTGTCCCCCAGGCAATGAAGCTACTCGAGATTCTTCTGGAAAGCTTATCATTTGTAATGGTCTAGAGCCCAACTGTCCTCCCAGATCCTATTGTTATATTACTTCTGGAGGATTTGCTACAGAAGAATATAATTGTTGTAAATCCTGGTAACAAATATGATTTGTTCATCTTCATCAGCTTCAAGCTTCAAACTACACTTAGGCTTTCATTGTCTAGTCATAATCTAATCCAAACAGTTTTTCATTTCCTTTCGCATACTTGTTAGCATAATCTACTTATGTATTATCATATTGTAGTTTCTTTCCTAATCATCATCATCCTTCTCTCTCTCTCTCTCGTAATAATTAATAATTCGCCGAGTGTGTAACTAACATGTTCTCTCTCGTCTTGTATGTACGGTCTGACAGATGTACAGTTAACTTATTACTTCATTCATTATTTATTGACTATATTTGTAATATTCCAAACTACAACATCGGAATAAGAGAAAGAACGGAGTATAGAAGGTGACAAGGGGGGAGTTTGATCTACTTGCTCCGCCCCCCTCCCTCCCAACCCCCTTGTCCTCTTCCTCTACGATTGCCGTTTCATCACCATGTCTGACACATTTGTTTGCTTAATTAAAACATAATAATAACATAGTTTTTGTAGCTTCTTTATTATATTTATATTTATAAATTCTTAATTCATACCTTTCTGACTTCTGTTTCAATAGTTGTAAGTTCAACCTTTCAACCAACTAATGCTTAGATTCTCTTGAAACTTCCTTCAACTGTTTCAGCTCTTCGTCCCAAACAACTTAAATACGGGCAGCCTTGTGATGTCTATAAAGATCGATGCATTAATGCTGCTAAATGCATTGATAGTGTATGTAAATGCCCTCCGGGTCTGTATCTCAATACAACCGGATGGTGTGAGTTCGTGGATTATACTAAGGTTTGTTCCAATATCCATTGCTTCTACTATCTGCTGCTTCAGCTGAAAACAAGTAACGCTTCCGCTTCAAGAGTCTTAAGACCATTTGCTTCAACAAGCCCTGTAATACCCTTCCTTCCCCTCATTATGTTCTTTTCATTGTTCTTGTAGGCTATTCATTACATCAAGGATCTCAAACCAACCTCACCACCTTTCTTCGCAAGCATAGGAAAAGGTTTCGGGCACAAAAGTGGAGAGTCTGATGAAGGTTTTCCTTCCGAAGCTTACACATCTGAAGCTTTATTTAAGTTCATCATTCACGTCCAATATACGAAAGACCGTATGCCCCAGAAGTCACAACAAGACGACCTACAATACCGACAACTTCAACAAAGTCGACGACCACGACAATGCCGACAACGACGACAACGACTACAACGACTACAACGCCGACAACAACGACAACTATAAGAACTACGACAACAACGACTGAGAAACTATCTACAAATACCGAAGATATAGTCACTCCAAGGAAAGGCTTACCTCGCATGAGAGGTCGTAAACCAGGTTCTAGCTGCAGGTGTGCTTTCTTTTAATGCTAAGTAATCATAATCTCCAACTTGAAGAGATAATGATATCTGCATGGGAGGATCTGCTTGTACAAACGGACGCTGTCAATGCGAAGACAACTACGTAATCAAGAACGGAAGATGCACTAAAGGTTTATCATTCCGAAAGATTTATCAATTATCTTCAATTGTTAGCACTACTAGAGAATATAGCACAACCTGGTAACTCTTGTGCTGATGGTGAGCAATGTACTGGTGGTTCGATATGCGACTCAGACACACATCTATGTATATGTGCTGCTCGTCATGTTATTCTCAACGGCGTCTGTAAAAGTAAAGGCAAGTTCATTCTTTGATAGTTAAGCAAGAAGCCAACTGGAGTTGACCTGCATGTTTGACCAAGAATTTGATTATTGTTCTCTCCTATTGTGATTGGAAGTCTTTTGTAGATGGTTTCACCTACGTCCAACCAGGGTCTTCATGTGATTACGACATAATTTGTTCTGGTGGATCAAGCTGTGAAGATGGTATATGTCAATGTGATAGTGAGCATTACTCTGAAGATGGATATTGCCGACATATCAGTAAGTGTTTGTTTGATGAATTGGATTGCTAGGAGGTTACTTGTAGCGTCGCGATCATCCCAAATCAAGCACGATATAGGAGGAGCGTTGAGATTCTCCTCAAAATCTTTCCAACGTAGAAACATAGCAGGTCCCTGTGATATGAAGAACTGTCGGTTACCTGATTGTTTCTGCACACCAAACGGTTAGTTCATTGTTTATTATAGCCTTTCATGATAAGCTTCAGGGCGTCGCTCTCCGTTACCAGAATCTCCAATCCATGATGTTCCACAGTTTGTTGTCTTGACTTTTGATGACGCTGTAAATGGACGTACACTTCCCGATTATAAGCAGCTTTTCGAGAACGTCACCTTCAGGTTTGGTTTCTGTTCTCCTGTGTCGCTAATTTTGTTATATTATTATCCAGAAATCCCAATGGTTGTGCCATAAAGGGAACGTTCTTCGTCTCACACGAATGGACTAACTATGATAGTGTGCAATGGCTATCTCAAAGAGGAATGGAGTTGGCCTCGAATTCCATATCGTCAGATTCATGTTGTTGATCAAATCTATTGTTTTCTCTTTAGTCATGTTTCACTAGCCGGAGAGAATGCCTCCAGATGGCTCAACGAAATGGATGGACAAAGAAGAATTATGGCAAAGTTTTCAAATTCTTTGGAAGAAGAAATTGTAGGAATGAGAGCACCTCAACTCTCAGCGGGAGGAGATGAGCACTTCGAGGTATCTCTTGACATTATAGTATCGATCGATAATTCTTTTGTTAAGATGATGTCTCGTTCCGGGTTTGTTTATGATAACACTTTGTCTGCTAACCCAGGAGAGAGTGGCGAGCCATATTGGCCACAAACACTTGATCATCAGATTCCATGGAATTGCCACGAAGAAAACTGTCCCACAAGGTTAACAGATCATTGTAACTTACGAAGAATAACCTTGATACCTTCAGCTCTTTCCCTGGTATTTGGGAAGTACCACTTAACCAGTTCTACGGCATTTACTTGAATCAAATTGAAAGTTATCGTCGATCAAGTATGGTGCGAGCAGCTGTAGATCTGAACAACACAGTCGATGAGCTGGTAAGTTCTGCCAATCACGCCTTAGCAAGATTC